ACATTTACATTTTGCATATGGATACTTCAGTTTTGTAGACATATGTTTTCATTTCTCTTGGGTAAATATCTAAGAGTGGGATTGCTGGGTCATATGATAAGTATATGGAAAACAGTTTGGCAATTTCTTTTAAAGTAAATATACCGTTTTTGCATTCCCACTAACAATATGTGAGATTTCAAGTGGGTCCACATCCTTACCAGCATATGGTGCCATCAGGCTGCTTTATTGTAGCCATTGTGATTGGTATGTAGTGGCATTTCATTGTGCATTTTTCTAATGTCTGAGGATGTTAAGCGTCTTCTTAGGTGCTTATTTGCCATTCCTGTAGCTTCTTTGAAGTATCTGTCAAGTCTTTTACCCATTTTTTAATGTCATGCTTTGCATATATTATGAAATCTGTACCTAAATGAAAGTCACAAACACTCTCTTCTATTTTTCTTCTAGAAGTTTTATTGTTTGAGCTCTTGGATCTAGGTCTGTGATTCATTTTGAGTTAATTTTTATATATGGTGCAAGGTGAGAGTAGAGATTTGTTTTTCCCCCCACATAGATATCAAAATAGTCCAACAACATTTATTGAAAAGACTGTCTTTCCTTCCATTTCATTACCTTGGCACCTTTATCAAAAACCAGTTGACGATAGATGTATAAATCTATTTCCAGATATTATTCTTTTCCATTGACCTGTATGTCTATCCTTATGCCAAATGAGTCTTAATTACTGTAGCTTGATAGTAAGTCTTGAAATCAGTTAGAATTCTCCAACTTTGTTTTTCTTTTTCAGAATTGTTTTGAATATTGTTAGGTCCAATATGTGAGATAATACATGGTGACGAAACAGAATTTATTTCTGTAATATGAGGTTGATTTCAGCATTCAAAAGTCAATATAGTTCACCTTCTCAACAAACTAAAAATGAAAAATCATGTGATCATCTCCAGAGATGCAGAAAAAGCACTTGGCCAAATTCAACATCCATTCATGATAAAACTGTCAGCAAAATAGAGAAGGGAGCTGCCTCAGTGTAATAAAGAGTATTTACAAAAAGTCTACACTACAGCTGATATCATCATTAATGGTTAAAACTTGAATGCTTCACTCCTAGGATTGAGAACAAGGCAAGGATATCTGCCCCTAGCGTTGACCTAGAGATCCTAGGCAGCATAATAAGACAAGGAAAATTTTTAAAAAAGAAACCAACACACAGGTTAGAAATTAAGAAATAATTATTGTCTTTATTTACAGATGACTTTATGGTCTACATAGAAAAAAATCCCAAAGAATCTCCAAAAAAGCTATTAGAAATACTATATGAGTTTAGCAGAGTTAGAGAATGTGTGGTCAGGATACAAAAACAAATTGTATTTCTGTTAGTAATGAATAATTGGAAATTGAAATTCACAAAACAAGATTTTACGGTAACATCCAAAAATATGACACACTTAGGGATACATCACACAAACTAGGTGCAAGATTTGTATGCCGAAAACTACAAAGCATCGTTGAGAAAAACTGAAAGAAGACCTGAATAAACAGATATATCTTGCTAAGAGATCAAAAGATTCAATTGTTGTATGTCAGTTCTCCAAATTAATCTGTAGAATTAATCCAGTCTAATCAAGATCCTGGTAGGACCTTAAAAAATATCTTTACAAGAATAAATGGACTAGGATTGGGTCTGTAATGACAAAAGAGAAGGCATAGGGTTTTTTTGTTTGTTTTGTTTTGTTTTTAATAGAAATTGACAAACATTCTGAAATAATTTCAGAAAATTCTCCCACCTCTGGGAGAAAGTGAATGTACAAATCATGTTTTATTTGTTTTATTGTTAGCTAGTAACAATAGCTGGTATTTATTGAGAATAATATTAGGTTATTTGAAAACTTTTTTTGTGGCTCACGCCTGTAATCCCAACACTTTGGGAGGCCAAGGTGGGCACATCACCTGAGGTTGGGAGTTTGAGACCAGCCTGGCCAATATGGCAAAACCCCATCTCTGCTAAATACAAAAATTAACCGAGCCATGGTGGCGCACACCTCTAATCCCAGCTACTTGGTAGGCTGAGGCAGGAGAATCACTTGAGCCCAGGATGCAGAGCCTGCAGTGAACCAAGTTCTCACCACTGCACTCCAGCCTGGGTGACAGAGTGAGACTGTGTCTCAAAAGAAAAAAAAAAACAAAAAAAAAACCACCTTTTTTTGTTGTTGAGACAGGATCTCACTCTGTCACCCAGGTTGGAGTGCAGTGGCAGCAATTTCAGCTCACTGCAATGTCTGCCTCTCAGGCTCAAGTGTATTTTAAAACTTTTAATGCGTATTAACTCAATCCTTAAAACATTTCTGTGAGGTACTATTATTGTTCCCATTTACCAGATGATGTAACAGGCATAGAGAGGTTAAGTGACTTAGAACTGAGACTTAAATTCTAAGCTAGGCTCTCTAGGTCCTGTGCTCTTAACCACTACTTTATTTCAATTTATTTTCTTATTTCAATTTATTTTCTAAGCGCTAAACACTGAGCTTTGTTTTGTATAAGGCTGATACTGTGATCTATAAGTATTGCTTCATTTAAGTGGAAATTTAAATATGCAAAGTTCAAAGTCAGTTACTATACCCATTGCTTGCTATGTCTATAAAGGGTGCTGGTGGGATGGTTGGTGAAGGCATGCGGAGTGGTTATTAGTCAGGGTTCTCCAGAGAGACTCTAGGAGGGGAAGGAGGAGAGGAGAAGAGAGAGAGAGAGAGAGAAGAGAGAGAGAGAGTTGAGGGAAGATGTATCAGGGCAATTGGCTGACATGACTGTGAAGGCTGAGAATGCCCACAATAGATAGGCCATCAGCAAGCTGGAGAACCAGCGAAGCCAGTAGTATGACTATTGAAGTCCAAAGGCCACAGATCCAGGAAGCCAATTCTCAGTCTAAGGCCAAAGGCCTAAGAGGGGTGAGGAGAAGGGCTGATATGGTGGTACAAATCCCAGAGTCCCAAGTCCAGAGAACCTGGAATTCTTTTTTTTTAAAGGTGAGGTCTCACTATGTTGCCCAGACTGGTCTCAACTCCTGGCCTCAAGCAGTCCTCCTACCTCAGGCTCCCAAGAGCTAGGATCACAGAATTCCAAAGGCAAGAGAAGAAGGGTGTCCCAGCTCAAGGAAAAAGAGAAAGTGAATTTATTTTCCTTTCCTCTGCCTTTTTGTTCTTTCCGTGCCCTCCAGCTGATTGGATGGTGTCCTCCAAGATTGAGGGCGGATCTTCCTCACTCATCCACAGACTGACACACCAGTCTCCTTTGGAAACACACTCGCAGGCACTTCCAGAAATTATGCCTTGCCAGCTATGTAGGTAGCCCTTCGTTCAGTTAGTTTAGTTGACACCTAAAATTAGCCAACACAGTGAGTAATCACATTAGAATTCTATTTGCATGTTTATTTCGTATGGCGATTATTTGTTGCCTTTAACAAAGATACTACTTTTTAAAATCGTATTTATGAGAAAAGATTGACTAAGATTTGGTGTATAATGACAAAGGCATACTTTTGGTAATTTATATATGGTATGCATTAGCATAGTGTTATAACTATATTTTCCAAACTAAAAACCAGAAGTTGTATGCCTTTTTGTGTGTGTCAGGAGACAGCCTGTGAAGTACATTAAGACTTTGAAAATTTGGAATTTCCAGGGCATGAAATGACTTTTTAGTCTGGCATTAGAATCATATTTGGAGCATTTAAAAAACTACCAATTGGTGTCCCTCTTTTCATTCTGATTCAGGAAGCTCTCTATAGGTAGGTCTGATGTGCACCTTACTTGAGATCCACTAATTAATGGAAATAGTTGGATAGGATATCCAGGATTTGGACCATCTAAAAAAACCCAGACTAAAATCCAGGGCACTGTGTTTCATAAAGGTAGGATTTCTCATAAATGGTTATCAGAACAACAGACTCTGAAATTGTAACTTACCCAAGTACTTGTCCCTCTCTTCATTTTCTTTTCTATATGGTGTCTATCTGGTCACACTTAGTTGTACCACAGCTCAGAAATTCTGTCGACTATGTATACAGCTACTCCACTTACGGCCCCTTTATACAATATAGACTTTAAAGTTATTATGGGACAGTTTCTAAAATTGTTGGAACATTACATCTATGCATTTCCTGTCCCACCCCTATAATGTTTTTTCTTGTTACTGGTTATTGAAGTTTTCAGAGGTAACAGATAGCTCAGGTTTCCAGATGAGAATTATAAGGAGTCTTTTATATCAGACTGAAAGAGAATGAAAGAACAGCCTTGGAAAAGTAAAATTACTAGTGTCTCCTCCTCCCTTAAGAACCAGAAGAAGTTTGAAGTGAAAAGATTAAAGATTATCTAGTGTGGCTTCCAGTTTTACTGTAAGTAAAATTAAGCTGAGAAAGGAGGATTGACTTGCCCAAGAGGGCACAAGTATTTTATAGAGAAATAGATTAAAATTCAAATAATTGTATAGTTAAAAAAAAGAAATAGGACTCTTTTCATAATTTAAAGTTTGAATTAAGCTGTTTTACAGTAAATGTTTTTATTTTCTGAGCTTTCAAAAATGTATAAATGTTATTCTTATTATTAATGTCCTTGAAAATAGAAGAGCCCAAATAATATTAGTCATAGTTTAAAAGAGAGAAAACCTTGATCCAGTATCTTAAGAGTTATAAAAGAAAAAGGGTCTACCATCAGTTGAATATGTCAACATATTAGAGAAATGTCTGTCATATTGCTGCAGGTTTTTGTCCCCTGAGTGAGAAATAGGAAATTTATAGGAAATATAGTCATTCTACAGATAAACAATTGTTTTCCATCCTTTGCTTATAGAATTAAAAGCCATATGGTTGTTTTTATCTGTGCCATTAATTGGGAAATAATTGAGCAGATTTGTTTAAGTTTTTTATTCTTTATAGTAATGTTCCAGTAATGTATCTTTAATAAACTTACTCTGTTTGTTTGCTTTTTTTCTTCTTGAATGAATATCAGTTAAAGAGAAGTTGACTGCAGATCCGGACAGTGAAATAGCTACAACCAGCCTAAGGGTTTCTCTACTGTGTCCAGTAAGTGTTAACTATTACTTGCTTTCCAGAAAGTTTAACATACATTTTCTTTTTTTATTAAGTATTTTTACTATTTGAGAAATTCTGTTTACTTCTAAAATATGTCCACCACTGTTACAGTTTATGAAAAGTGGAAAGACATCTAGGCATTGCATTTGGAATCTAAACAAGTCTTTAAAAATGATCTACTCTTAGTAAGACCTATCTAAATATGGCCTGTGATTAATGACCATCTCTCAGGCTCAATCGTAAAATCTCCAAATAATAAATGTTTATTGTCTCAGTGTATTTATAAAAATTTTACATTTATTTATTTATTTTTATTATTTTTTTTTTTTGAGATGGAGTTTCACTCTTGTTGCCCAGACTGGAGTGCAGTGGCGCCATCTCGGCTCACCACAACCTCCACCTCCCGGGTTCAGGCGATTCTTCTGCCTCAGCCTCCCGAGTAGCTGAGATTACAGGCATGTGCCACCACGCCTGGCTAATTTTGTATTTTTAGTAGAGACAGGGTTTCTCCATGTTGGTCAGGCTGGTCTCGAACTCCCAACCTCAGGTGATCCACCCGCCTCGGACTCCCAAAATGCTGGGACTACAGGCGTGAGCCACCATGCCTGGCTAAAAATTTTACTTAAGATAGTACCTTTCTGAGTAAAAATCTAGCCGTGATTACTCACACATCTCATTTAACCGTTTTGCCAACAATGACCACATTATAACAGTTCACCAATTAGAAACTTCTGTTCAGCCTAAATAGCTGAACTTGTTATACATATAAAAAAGCCTTGAGATATTTTAAGCCAGAAAATGAGGTCAGAATCAATAATTTTCATGAAATAAATATATGGTCCCAAGACTTAACCAAATTATTAAACCTGTAAGGGAAAAGGTATCAAAAACATGTTAAACTGCGGGCCAGTGGCGCAATGGATAACGCGTCTGACTACAGATCAGAAAAACATGTTAAACTAATTTGATGTTAGGTTTATTGGTAGGGATGGTGGTTGAATATGTCCATATGGAAATATGTGAAAAATTAATCATAAATTACCTTGACATTTTGATTACTTTTTGTTCTATAATAATCAAACTAATCATATTTAAATTGGGGAGAAAGAATGAAAGGACACATCTGTTTCCTGCTTTGCCTGATTGTTCAGACAGGCCTGATATTGAAAGCAGTTGATACTGAGATCCTACTAATATCAGATGATGATGAAGTTACTGTATTCTTAAAGAAACAAAGAATTTAAATAGAAATTAAATGTTATTTGTAGTTACAAATATTTTTTGTAATTTATGAAACTTAAAACATAATATGAAAAAATTAGTAGATCATGAATTAGTTTCTGTAAGTTATAGAAAAAAATACAATGAAGTTAATTAAAATCACCAAATTCTATCATTGTGTGTATATCCTTCTATTCCTGTAACGTTTATTTTTATTCCTTTTTATAATAAAGCCAATTTTTTTCTTGCGAAAAATATTTTGACTCCAGGCTTTTTATATTAGTGTTAAAAATTCTTTAAGTAACCAGGTAAATGTTACAACAGCCTAGGTTGTAAAGGAGACTGGTGTGGGGGGGGGTGTGTGTGTGTGTGTGTGTGTGTATGTGTGTGTTTCATGCTTAGAAAAATGGTTCACACACTGAGGAAGTAGAGGGTGAGAAAAAGACAAAAAATGTTTTTAAAAGAAAAGGGTAAAAAGATGTATACTTATTCTACCCTCTTTCTCCAAAACCCTGATTTATCCATTCCCCCTCCATTGTTCTTTGCCGCCTCATTTTGTTGTAAAACACCAATTCAGAAAATACAATAAGTTTAGAAAAGTACATACACTTCTTTTTCTATTTAAATCACTGGAAAGAGTAGTGTTTTTCTGCAGTCTCACTTAAAAGTGTTTATAGTTGTACTAATATATACATGAGGCTTTATGTTTAACACACATATGAAGCATTTATTCGTATAAATAAGCACTCCAATATAAATCTTAAAAGTTTTATTTGTGGAACTATGTTTTAATTCTGTAGTTCAGGTGCTCATCTCTATATTATTAGAAACTTAATCACATTTTGCTCTTTGTACCTTTATTTTTCTTTTTTTGAGACAGGGTTTCACTTTGTCACCCAGGCTGGAGTGCAGTGCTGCCATCTCAGGTCACTGCAGCCTCCACCTCCCAGGTTCAAGCAATGCTCCTGCATCAACCCTCCAAGCAGCTGGGACTACCGGCATGTGCCACCACACTCGGCTAATTTTTGTATTTTTTTGTAGAGACAGGGTCTTCATATGTTGCCCAGGCTGGTCGTGGACTTCTGGCCTCAAGCAATCCTCCTGCCTTGGCCTCCCTTGAGATTACAGGCGTGAGCCACCATGCCCAGCCAGCAGTTCATTTTAAATTGACATCTGCTTTAAAAATTCAGAGTGTAAAACAAAACAACTATATGTGTATATTGTGTATATGTGTGTATGTATGTGTAAAATACATAATTATAATACTTTCATGGGTTTCTATTTGGCTAAAGGGATAATCCCTCACAGTTATTCTGAAATAGTAAGATCATACATTTTAGGTATGTTTTTACTCAAAAATAAAATTTAGTAATATCTATATATCAAATTTATAGGATAATAAAGGAGATTTGCTCTCTTTGAAATATGTACATATGATGTCTTACTGTGCATTACAATTGCCCTTATTGTGATGTACAGAGCTCCAAATAAATGAGTTTCTGTTGTTTCTGTGCCATTTAGCTAAAGGCAACAAAAATAATTAAAAATGTTTTTACTCTTTGGGAATTTTATGGTTCTGATTTATTAAAAATAGAGGTGGAGGAATCTTTGAAAAACTGCTTTGTAAACCCAAATACAAATGACTTGGAATTGATAGAAGAAGATAAACTCTGGAAATGTATTTATGAAATATTATTGTGAAAAAAACTTGTGAAATTGTTCTTTTTCTTTTTCTTTTTCTTTTTTTTTTTTTTCAGAGACAGAGTTTTGCTCTGTCACCCAGGCTGGAGTACAGTGACCAGATCTTGGCTCACTGCAACCTCCACCTCCCAGGTTCAAGTGATTCCCCTGCCTCAGCTTCCCAAGTAGCTGGAGCTACAGGTGAGCGCCACCACGCCCAGCTAATTTTTTGTATTTTTAGTAGAGATGGAGTTTCACCATGTTGGCCAGGCTGGTCTCAAACTCCTGACCTCAGGTGATCCACCTGCCTTAGCTTCCCAAAGTGCTGGGATTACAGGTGTGAGCCACCACTCCCAGCCCTTTTAAAATTTTTTTATTTTTTGAGACAGAGTCTTGTTCTGTTGCCTAGGCTGGAGTGCAGTGGTGTGATCTCAGCTCACTGCAACCTCCACCTCCCGGGTTCAAGCAATTCTCCTGCCTCAACCTCCTGAGTAACTGGTATTACAGGTGCCTGCCACCACGCCCGGCTAATTTTTTATTTTTAGTAGAGATGGGGTTTCACCATGTTGGCCAGGCTAGTCTCAAACTCCTGACCTCAAGTGATCCGCCTGCCTTAGCCTCCCAAAGTGCCGGGATTACAGGTGTGAGCCACTGTGCCCAGCCGAAATCGTTTTTAATGTCACACTTTTTCCTTTTGCAAAGAGAAAGCACGTTTTATTGACATTTTTAGGGCTTTTTAAAAATATAAGTTGGTTAAAACTTGTATCTAGAATGTTTTCTCTTGCAGCATCATCAGTTACTAATATAGATAGCACTATTATTGTAAAGTTAGTGGCATTAGAAAACACATTTGGGAGTTAAAATGTTTATATGCAAATAATTCAAACATAATTTATGTCCTATAAAGGGAAAGGAAGAATTTGTAATCACAAGATGAAGACGTTCAAAGTTCAGCTTCTCTCCTTATACCAAGTTAGAGAAAATCGATATCTGTTTTTCAGATAATTATTTAGAATTTAGTGATTTTTTAAAAAATCATGAATATAAGAATTATCACATAATAGTTATTTTATTATTCTAAGGCATTTATGTGACAGCTAATGATGCATTTGAAAATGAGCTTTTGCTTTTATGTACCCTTTTATGTCTTTCTTGCACCATTTCTGTGTCAGCATTCCTTAAAAACTCTGTAGGTCACCTTGTCAGTATAGCTGAAGATAAAGGCTTGAGAGTTGCTCTCTTGCCTACAAGATATGAACTGACAGCTGGAGATCATGGGGTAAAGATATGTGAGATGAAGGCCTTTGGAAAACAGCTGCTTTTCAGAGTATAAATTTCTTTTTTTTTTTTTGAGACGGAGTCTCGCCCTGTTGCCCAGGTAGAAGTGCAGTGGTGCGATCTAGGCTCACTGCAAGCTCCGCCTCCTGGGTTCATGCCATTCTCCTGCTTCAGCCTCCCAGTGGCTGGGATTACAGGCACTCGCCACCACGCCCAGCTAATTTTTTGTATTTTTAGTAGAGACGGGGTTTCACCGTGTTAGCCAGGATGGTCTCGATCTCCTGACCTTGTAATCCACCCACCTCGGCCTCCCAAAGTGCTGGAATTACAGGCGTGAGCCACCGTGCCCGGCCCAGAGTATAAATTTCATTGCCTATGGCTTGGATTCTGAAATAATCTTTATTTCTTACCATCTTATCCGTTTTCATAAACAATCAGAAGTAGTCTGGTAGTTCTACAGTTCATAAACCTTGTGTACTATTACTGTATTTGTCTAGAATTTTTAGTCTGTGGTTTTTCTACTTAGTATTAAGGCAATAGCAAAAGTACCTTATAAAATAGGAATTTGTATTTCATAGATAAGTTAAGGTCTGACATAAGATATAAAAATGTAACTTGGCACCACCAACCAGATTGCTATTTGGAAAATGTTTCTGAACTAATGCCACATGGTATCTTGCCTAATGGTAATTTTTCCGTTATAACTACTTTGTTCTTTTTGGCCTTTTTATCAGGTGCTTATGTAAATCAAATCATAAAAAATTTGTGGGACGGGTGGCTCACGCCTTTAATGCCAGCACTTTGGGAGGCCAGGGTGTGCAGAGCACTTGAGGCCAGGAGTTTGAGACCAGTGTGGCCAACATGGCGAAACCCCGTCTCTACTCAAAATGCAAAAATTAGCGAGGCATGGTGGCACCTGCCTGTAATCCCAGCTACTTGGGAGGCTGAGGCAGGAGAATTGCTTGGGAGACTCTTGCTCAAAAAATAAAAAAATTAAAATTGAGTAGAAGTGCAGTAAGGGAGTCTGGTGAAGCTGTTTAATACTTTGTGAGCCCACAATAAAAGAATTACTAAGCTGAGGTTTGGGTGGGTTTCCTAGTGTACAAAGTGATTTAAAGCAAATATGTTAATTAATACTATTTTTATTTATTGAAAACTTACTATGTGTCACGTACTGTGCAGTAAACGTAATTGAATCCCCACAATCATTTTGTGTAGATCCCATTTTTATCCCCATTTTATAAAACTGAGCCTCTGAGTGATTAAATAAAATAACATTCAGGATTCACACAGTAGGTACGTAGTGGGGCCAGGATTCATTCTAACACCAGAATTCATACTCAGGCTGCACTATAAATTACTGAGTACGACCTATATGCCTTCCATGAGTGGTGCCTCCTGGAATTGCCCATCATGCACAACTGAAGCTTTATCAGTGCACAGGACTGTCTTACTGCTGTATATTTCCAAGTATGGGGACAAGGAAATTAGTCCAACCTGTTTCTGGTAGGAGGAGACACACGTATAAATAAGTAACATACAGTTGTGCATGCCTTAATGATGGGGATACCTTTTGAGAAATGCATTATTAGGGGATTTTGTTGTTATTCAACAAAAGCAACATAGTTGTGTTATTCAACAAAAGCATCATAGGTGGTGGTGTTCAACAAAAGCATCATAGGTGTGCTTACACAAACCTAGATGGTATAGCTTACTACGTACCTTGGGACTATTGCTCCTAGGCTGCAAAACTGTACAGCATGTTACAAAACTGAATACTGTAGGCAGTTGTAACACAATGCTAAGTATCTGTGTACCTAAACATAGAAAAGGTACAGTAAAAAGTATAAAAGATGAAAACTGGTACACCTGTATGGGGCACTTACTATGAATGGAGCTTACAGGACTGGAAGTTGCTCCAAATAAGTCAGTGAGTGGTGAGCAAATGTGAAGGTTTAGGACATCACTTACATCACTGTAGACTTTATAAACACTGTACACTGCAGCTACAATAAATTTAAAATATTTTTCTTTCTTCAATAATAAACCTTAGCTTACTGTAACTTTGATTTTTGTTTTTTGTTTTTGAGACAGAGTCTCCCTGTGTCACCCAGGCTGGAGTGCAGTAGTGTGATCTCAGCTCACAGCAACCTCTGCCTCCCAGGCTCAAGTGATTCTCCTGCCTCAGCCTCCCAAGTAACTGGGATCCCAGATGTATGCCACCATGCCTGGCTTATTTTTGTATTTTTAGTAGAGACGGAGTTGCGCCACGTCAGCCAGGCTGGTCTCAAACTCCTGAACTCAGGTGATCCTGCCTCCTCGGCCTCCCAAAGTGCTGGGGTTACTGGTGTGAGCCACTGCACCCGGCCACTGTAACTTTTTTATTTTATAAGCTTTTTAATTTTTTAACTTTTGACTCTTGTATTAACACTTAGCTTAAAACACAAGCACGTTGTACAACTGTACAAAAATATTTTCTTTCTTTATATCCTTATTCTATAAGCTTTTTCTATTTTTAACATTTTTTTACTTTTGTTTTCTACTTTTTAAACTTTTTTGTTAAAAACTAAGACACACATTAGCCTAGGCCTACACAGAGTCAGGATCATCAGTATCACTTCCTTCCACCTCCACGTCTTGTCCCACTGGAAGGTCTTCAGTGGCAGTAACAGACATGGAGCTGTTCTCTCCTACCCGCCTGAGGCTGTTTTACAGTTAACTTTTAAAATATATGTAAGTAAAGGGAGTACACTCCAAAATAATGATAAAAAGTATAGTAAATCAGAAACCAGTAACATGGTTGTCTGTTATCAGGTATCATGTACTGTACATAATTTGAAGACCTCCATCATATATGTGGTTCACTGTTGACCAAAATGTTATGTGGTGCTTGATTGTAATCATATGCAGGAGTATAGAGGTGGGAGTACACAGAAGGGAGTTAACCAGTTTTTACTCTAGGTCTCTCCAGGTTATACTTCTGATACTATAAACTGGCATTGCTCTATTCTCAGTAAGTTTATAACATGTTCAGGGTTCTATTTTTATTCATCATGGCTACATCTGGTTGAAGTAAGGAGGAAACAGTGTTACCTTAGAGAAAGTAAAAGGGACCCAGAAAGGTTAAATGCCTTTCTTAGAGACACAGTAAATCATTGGTATCAAAGCAATTATTTTGGGCACCAAATGACAGTTAATTTCCTGGTAGACTAGGAAATTGCACATTTCCCTGAAATTGATCTAAGCCAAGAATCTTTTCCTCATTTAACTCATATTCTTTTCAAGCCTTTATATTTTTCTTTTATATATATACATATATATAAAAAATACTTTAAGTTCTAGGGCACATGTGCACAATGTGCAGGTTTGTTACATAGGTATATATGTGCCATGTTGGTTTGCTGCACCCATTAACTAACTCGTCATTTACATTAGGTATTTCTCCTAATGCTATCCCGCCCCCCTGCCCGTCACTCCACGACAGGCCCTGGTGTGTGATGTTCCCCTTCCTGTGTCCAAGTGTTCTCATTGTTCAGTTCCCACCTATGAGTGAGAACCTGCGGTGTTTGGTTTTCTGTCCTTGTGATAATTTGCTCAGAATGATGGTTTCCAGCTTCATCCATGTCCCTGCAAAGGATATAAACTCATCTTTTTTTATGACTGCATAGTATTCCATGGTGTATATGTGCCACATTTTCTTAATCCAGTCTATCATTGATGGGCATTTGGGTTGGTTTCAAGTCTTTGCTATTGTGAATAGTGTCGTAATAAACATATGTGTGCAATGTGTCTTTATAAGTAGCGTGATTTATAATCCTTTGGGTATATACCCCGTAATGGGATGGCTGGGTCAAATGGTATTTCTAGTTCCAGATCCTTGAGGAATCGCCACACTGTCTTCCACAATGGTTGAACTAGTTTACACTCCCACCAACGGTGTAAAAGCATTCCTATTTCTCCACATCCTCTCCAGCACAAGCCTTTGTATTTTTCAAGTTCACAAATCTTTTCCTGGTACTTGGCAAATAATGTGGTTATTGAAAGTAGATAACTTATCTACTATGTGGCCATTGTGCGATCTGGGGACTCTACAGTGGTACAAGCTGGCTTCTGGGGAATGAGATAGTGATATGGTAGCTCCCTATGCAGGTTTCTGGGCGGCTTCTCTGCCTTGGGCTAAAGCTAGCAGCTCAGGGACCAGATGAAGCAGATTTCCTCTTCCTGAATAGACTCACCACATGTCAGCTGAAGCAATATTTGCAGGGCAACAAGTCTCCTAACATGCTGGAGATGCTAGAGGTCCAGGGCTGTAGGCTGAATTGCTCATGATGGTTCCCAGTGAGGAAGCAATGCAGAGTGTGTGCACCTGCCTTCCTCCTCAGAGCTGCCACTTGGCAATTATGCCAAGCATTATGGGGAATGATCACTATTGATTCAGTTTTGTCCTGTGAACTGCTCTTATTCATAGGTAAGACTGATAGCAAATATCAATGGATTTCTGTATTGTGCAGTATTTAATAAGACATTCTCTATTTTCCCTAATCCCTAGTTAGGTGGTTCTTAAATTTTTTTTTTTTTTGGATCAAGGACTGCTTTAAGAATTTGAGAAAAGCTGGGCACAGTAGTGTGTGCCTGTATTGCCAGATACTCTGGAGGCTGAGGCAGGAGGATTGCTTGTGCCCAGGAGTTTGAGGCTGTAGAGTGCTACGATTGTGCCTGTGAATAGAGTTGGCACTTCAGCCTGGGCAACATAGCAAGACCCCATCTCTTTTTTAAAAAAACTGGTGAAAGCACTCTCTCCAGAGAAATGCACACACGAAATTTTGAGTGTAATTCAAGGGGTTATGACCCTCTCCACCAAAAGCTGATCTGTGAGCTGTGGATTTTAGTAAATAACCCTTGTAGACTTTCCATAGTCATTTTGTTTGATAGCCAAATAAATGCTGTAATTTTTAAACCTATGGATATTTCACAGGAAATGTATTTAATGTTCTCCTACATTGATGAAAAGTAAACACAGTATGCTTTAAATCAGCATGCCTACCTGTTGTGTTCTAGGAAATTTTTGTCAAAGCTTAAATGTTGAATAGCAATTACCTAATATTTACTTTTTCTCCCTTTTTAAAGCTTGGTAAAATGCGGCTGACAATTCCGTGTCGGGCCCTTACATGTTCTCATCTACAGTGTTTTGACGCAACTCTTTACATTCAGATGAATGAGAAAAAACCAACCTGGGTTTGTCCTGTCTGTGATAAGAAGGCTCCATATGAACACCTTATTATTGATGGGTATGTTACTTTAAGTGTTTTGGTTCCTTGAAATGACCATATATTATCTGGGTTTGTTACACATCAGATTTGGGATGAAAATTCTAAGTTATGTATTTGTAGGATTTTTGTGAATCTGCAAACCAATATTTTCAAAGTAATTTATTTCAAATTAGTGTTATGAATATTTTATCTTTTTAACTCGATGTTCCCTTGTTTTGAAAATACGTGTGTTACTGTCAGTGCCTCCTGGCATTTGTCGTTTAAAGCACTAGTGGTTTTAAGCAGGGTGTGCTTATACCTTTTCTTTTTCCTGTCATTAGTCCATCCATCCCTAGATATGCAGACCATATTGGAAAAAGAATGTATGGGGAAATTTGGGTTAACTCAGGTTCATCCAAAATTGGGCTTTTCAATAGAAGTTAACCTGTTTGTGGAGATTAGATCCAGCTTCAGTCATGGTCTTCTTTTTCTTTTTTGTCTTGTCCACCTATGGCATCACAATAACCAATTGCTTTTAACACCCCTTTGTTTTATCTGTCCTACCAGACATCTTGGAATGTTCCTCTAAATGTTCTCCTCTTCTGCAGCCTCCTTTTTTCCCCCCCTTTTGCCACTAAACAAAAACTATTGTGAAAAGGAGGAATCTACTTGATTTTGCGGGGGGTGGGGGGGCAAAGACAGAGTCTTGCCATTTTGCCCAGGCTGATCTTGAATCCTGGGCTCAAGTGATCCTCCTGCCTTGGCCTCCCAAAGTGCTGAGATTACAGGCGTGTGAGCCACCGCACCCGGCCTGTACTTAATATTTCCTGTACTTTCTAGCAAAAGACTTAAGGCAACTTACCTGTAGTATTTAAGAAAACATAGGAGCATAAAGGTGGTAATATCAGAAATTGAGTATATTTAGCAATACAAGTATAACCTGGAGCTTGAAGGATGTCAGACCAGTCATGGGGGAAAAAAAAAGAAAAACATGTAACTTAAATGTTTTATGTTTAATTTTTCAGAAATGATGGTGACCACTTAGTAGTAAATCAGAATTAAATAGTAATATTTTCCAACTTTATATGTAACATAGCTTTAGGTTCTCCCATTTCTTGTTATAAAAGCCATGTACACACATACTGTTTTAAAGAAAAATTGCAAAACACAGGAAAATAAAAAGCTTTTTCGGGTGTATAATTTTCCAATTTTCATCTTTCCATAGTTGTGATTGTACACTGTTAATAATTTTTATCCTTTGGTTTCATTTAACATTGTAACCTAAGAATTTGGCCATAGTTAATTTTATGCATTCTTTATACATGTTTTTAAATGTCTGTTACAATATTTTATTAAAGAGATTTAACCTTTGATTACATGTTTGTGTATGTATTGCTTCAGTTTATCAAATAAGACATGCTTATTGTAGGCAATTTAGAATATGCAAAAATGTATAAAGAAGAAAAATAAATACCCATGAAGGTACCACCCAGAGGTAACTACTATCTATATACTACTCACACATAATTTTATTTTTGAAATTAAGCTTTCTTTTGTTGACCTTTTCTCACTTTTTGTCAACATTTTTCCATATGATTAAAAATCTTTGAAAATGTCATTTTTCGTGGTCACATATTTTCTTACATAAATGTGACATAAATTAGGCAGCAATATTCCTATTTAACACTAGATTTTAAGAATAAATATAACTTGAGTTGTTCAACTTTTATTTTCATTTAAAATATGATATTTTAAGGATGAATTGTTTTCTTATAGCTTGTTTATGGAAATCCTAAAGTACTGTACAGACTGTGATGAAATACAATTTAAGGAGGATGGCACTTGGGCACCGATGAGATCGAAAAAGGAAGTACAAGAAGTTTCTGCCTCTTACAATGGAGTCGATGGTGAGTAGTTCTTCACAAGGAAGGGGCAGTCTCCCTACTGCTGTAAGTCTGGTTTTCAATATTAAAATCCATATATTTTTAAAAAACACTGAGCAGTTTGTGGATAGCTTAATGATTCCTATTAACTTATTGATAGAAATCCTTTTAAATTCACTTTTTTGCCAGCTTTAAAAAATTTTCTGATATAAGATTTCAAAGTAATTTAATATAATTAGTCATTTGTAAAGTCATACTTTTGAAACTGTACCCTTTTTAAATTTTTAACAGATTTGGTACAGAGTAGTAAAGGTTCAGTTTTCATTTATTTATTTTTTCCTGGCTTTTAGTATGTTTTTGCTGGAAAGAGACTATGAGTTTTGAATATGCTATCATCGTATTTCTGAAGTATGTCAGATACTATGCAGACAAAAATTAATATACAGTCTGTGCTTTCAAATTACTTTTCTTCTGAAGTGGACATAAGACACATTTTGATTGTTTGCTCTAATTCAGTAATTTATTATTATTTTGAAAAATAATTTACTATTATTAAATAATAGTTTTAAACTTAGTAGAACAGAGCCACTGTTGGTTTTCTACTCTCTGGCTCCCAACAATATTGTGAATCTAAACTGTAACTGATAAACTGTAGGGACACTGAGAAAAGAGAGATGTCATAACTCTTCCCTTGCCTTGTATTTTAATCATTCCCATATAGGATGCTTGAGCTCCACATTGGAGCATCAAGTAGCTTCTCACCACCAGTCCTCAAATAAAAACAAGAAAGTAGAAGTGATTGACCTAACCATAGACAGTTCATCTGATGAAGAGGAAGAAGAGCCATCTGCCAAGAGGACCTGTCCTTCCCTTTCTCCCACATCACCACTAAATAATAAAGGGTAAGTGCTGAGACATTTAAAAAAAGTAATCATGAAAATTAACTTGGCAAATAGGGATTAAAGACTTGCCAAATATGATTCTTGATTGTGAAACTTAACTTAGCAATCAAAGAATAGTTTGAATTTTTCCCAGGTTTGTAATACTCTGGAGGGATTCGGGTAGTGCACTAAAAGGTTACTTGGATATAGTATTCTTTATTATCAAAAGATGATTCTAGTACTGTGGTTCTCAAACTGGTGTACATACATCAGAATTACCTGAGAGCTTATTAAAATGCACACATTGCTCCCCTGCGTCTGAGTCAGGAGGAGAGACTAAGAAAATTTGTCTTTCTAGGCCAGGCATGGTATCTCACGCCTGTAATCCTAGGACTTTGGGAGGCTGAGGCAGGTGGATTATCCGAGCTCAGGAGTTTGAGACCAGCCTGGGCAACATGGTGAAACCTCGTCTCTACTAAAATACAAAAATTAGCGAAGCGTGGTGGCGTGTGCCTGTAATCTCAGCTACTCTGGAGGCTGAGGCCGGAGAATTGCTTGAACCCAGGAGGTGGAGGTTGCAGTGAGCCAAGATCTTACCATTGCACTCCAGCCTGGGCAACAGAGTGAGACTGTCTCAAAAAAAAGAAAAAAAGAAAATTCGTATTTCTAGTAAGTTCCCAGGTGATCCTGCTCCTGCTCGCAGGATGTAGAACATTTGTTCAAACTGGAATGTATGCTCTAAAATTCACCCCAAGTTGAATGTTTCAGGTGGAAAGCAGAGGAAGACCGATGATTTAAATCTGCCTCAGAATGTGAATGCGTCTGGCAGTGAATGACTTCTGTTGCAGTACACATTTCCCACTTTGCAGACTTTTCTCCCATATTTTCCGTTAGTCTTATATCAATAACAGTGTACCTAGGTTATGCTTCAGTTCATGAAACATTGTTATCTACTTTGTATAAAACACCCTCAGCTAAGCATGGATGATAATAAAATGAGTAAGTACAGCCTTAACCTTAAAGAGCTTAGCACTTTCTGGGGGGTGGTAAAACAAGTAGCAGACTCCAACTGTACTCCCAAAACAGGCTGTTAGTCCTGTAGACACATCAGGGATTCTGAGCAAGATTTCTAATTGTGCTAAAGCACAATTGTGGCACACTAATTGTAAATCTAGAAATAGATGTGTCACTTTTTAGGTATAAAGCAGGAGAACCACATGGCCTATTGTAACTGAATAGAAGCTAACCAGAAACCCTTCCAGCAAGCAGTAGGGACTAAAGAAAGAATGTAAGAGAGAGAAGGAAAGTCCGTAGATGGCATTATTACAACACCAGATCAAGAGCAGGCATTTCTGTGCCTGGAGTCAAATCATTTTCAGGTTTGACAATGTATAATGAGATTAAAGATTTCAATGAGTTCGAGACCAGCCTGGGCAACATGGTAAAACCCTGTCTGTACCAAAAAAATTAGCTAGGTGTGGTGCTCTGTGCCTGTTGTCCCAACTACTCGGAGGGCTAACGTGGGAGGATCACTTGAAGCTGGAAGGTGGAAGTTGCAGTGAGCTAAGATCATGCCCTGCACTCCCAACCTGGGTGACAAAATGAGACCCTATCTCAAAAAAAATAAGATTTCAATCAAACATATTTCACACATTGGTATTTTCATTCTAGAGTAGTCTGTCTTGGCATAGGGAGAGAAACAAAGACATTAAAAACAGTATCATCATTCTAAACAAAGTAAATAATTTAAACACAAATCCTACTCTTATGAACATGACCTCTGATAAAAGCCTACCTTGATGGCTGTAACCCAGCGAGCCTGACCTTGTTATTACACCAATGTATTTTGTGTCTGAGTAGGAGAAAAGGAAAAGTCAGATTACCTAAAGTTAGAACAAGTATCTATAGAATTTCAATTCCAAGATATTTTATAAATGTCAAACCATAGTATGACCAAATACACATTGTCATGTGATTTTTTTAGGTGCCATAATCACAATGTTAAAAGATACTTCATAAACCTCTGGATGTATAAATACTTTTGGGCTAAATGCATCGTCATATATATATTAGTTCTATTCTTTAGACTATTAATAGTAGTCATATGTATTTATGTAAACTATTCAATAGTATTAGTGACTATGTATTTTTTCTTTAAAGAAGACATTTGAGTGTTTAGGAATCTAGTATTTCTTCTTTGGATATTTACTTTGCTCTTTCTCCAAAGACATTTGGAGAGAATTAAATAGTGTTTATTATGTTTGGAAAATAACATTAGATGCATTAACTACTTCCTGAATTTCCCAGTGACTAATTGAACCCAGATATAGTATTTGCAAATGCCAGACATTTCTCTATTTGCAGATAAAAACAAGAAATTTGAAAGTTTACATCCTTAGAAGGAGAATAATACCGTAGTCAACACTAGTAGCTATTTTATAATAATGACTAATTGGTAACTGGAAACCTCAGTCCAGCATATTGTGTTTGTTATTGTGCAGTATAAAGGTTGAAATGCATTTCAAAACATTATTACAAATTGAAAGAAAAGCATGCAGCCAGGAATTACAGGCAAAAACTAAATGTAAAACATTTTGTTGTCTTTAGCCACTGAATGCTTAATGTTCATCCAGAAATTGTCTGTGCTGTTTGAGATGTTTTCAAAGACTAGCATTTTAAATCCTCTCGTAATCTCTTAGACATTGTGAGAGAACTCAGCTAATGGTAAATGGTACTTTTTCTAGATATAAGAGGTTTAACTAAGTTTCCATTAGATGAAACATTTTTATGAGGCAGACGAGAGTGTGTTTTATGCTTCATATCCCATTCATTAAAATGTGGTAGATGGTCATAACTGGAACTCTATTCCTAGAAATCCAACCTTGGCATCTTTTGAAATGTTCTTTTTTTGAGACAGAGTTTCACTCTTGTTGCCCAGGCTGGAGTGCAATGGCGCCATCTCGGCTCACCGCAACCTCCACCTCCTGGGTTCGAGTGATTCTCCTGCCGCAGCCTCCTGAGTAGCTGGGATTACAGGCATGGGCCACCATGCCCAGCTAATTTTTTGTATTTTTTAGTAGAGATGGGGTTTCTCCCTGTTGGTGAGGCTGGTCTCAAACTCCCAACTTCAGGTGATCCACCTGCCTCGGCCTCCCAAAGTGCTGGGATTACAGGCATGAGCCACCGTGCCTGGCCCTCTTTTGAAATATTCTATATCACTGAAATTGTATCCCCATGCCCCAGGTACTTTACATGAAGCATTAAAAGCAAAAGACAGCCGCTTTATTGCTTCCTTTCTCTTTATTTTCTATAACACATATACCTTCAGCCTCTTGTATTGGTGGGGTAACGTATAACCCTTATGTTTCCTTCCAAGAGGGCTACTATAATTCTTTTTCTTTTCGAAATTAGTTTTGTTTTTGTTTTTGTTTTTGTTTTGTTTTGAGACAGGCTCTTGCTCTGTCACCCAGGCTTGAGTGCAGTGGTGCAATCACGGCACATGCAGCCTCGACCTCCCGGGCTCAAGCAATCCTCTCACCTGTCTCCCAAGTAGCTGGGACTACAGATACATGCCACCAGGCCTAGCTAAGTTTTTTAAGTTTTCGTAGAGACAGGGTCTCCCTATGTTGCCCAGTCTGGGCAACCTCTGGGCTGAAACTATCCTTCTGCCTCTGCATCCCAAAAGTATGGGGATTACAGGAATGAGCCGCCATGCCTGGCCCTAAAATTAGTTAAATTATTATTTTTTCCTTCTCCTTTTTGCCTTTCCCTTAATTTTTAATAAATTTTTTTAAAAAAGCTACTCAGTTATTTAAACTTTTCACTGTTTTTTAAAGTCCTAATTCTTGTTTTATGTTTTCTTTTTCCAGTTATAGTATTCTCCCTTTAAAAACTCTCCACCACCTGTTCATTTTGGAGTATTTCTTTTTTTTTTTTTTTTTTGAGACGGAATCTCGCTCTGTTGCCCAGGCTGGAGTGCAATGGCGCCATCTCGACTCACTGCAACCTCCACCTCCTGGATTCAAGTGATTCTCCTGCCTCAGCCTCCCAAGTAGCTGGGACTACAGGCGTGCACCACCATGCCTGGCTAATTTTTTTATTTTTAGTAGACATGAGGTTTCACCATGCTGGCCAGGCTGGTCTCGAACTCCTGACCTTGTGATCCACCCGCCTCAGCCTCCCAAAGTGCTGGGATTACAGGCGTGAGCTACTGCACCCGGCTTCATTTTGGAGTATTTCTTCTTGTTTCACTCATTAGATTCAGCAGGGCTTTTATGCAAACAACATGCTGATCTACTGGGCATTGGGTATACTAAACAATACCCAGTTTTTGTTCTCCTGAAGACTACAATCCAACTCCAAACCACTCAGATTGCTTCATTCCCTCTTTCTTATTATATGTATTTTCTTTGCTAGGGCATACGTATACTTCTTACTAGCCAATACTTCAGTGTTGTTTTAAAAGGGTTTCCGAATTTCATTTGATGTAGGTATCTTTCACTCATATCCTGGTAAAGTGGCTCAACTGTACCTTTCTCTTGCATTCTGAAAGCATAGGTGATGATATTCCAAAGGCAATGTGAGGTTTGTGAATGTTGGATACCATTGCATCTGTCCATTTCTTCCTATGGCCTCTGTTAAATGCTATTATGTATACAAATTATTTTCTCATAATTGTGTATAATCTAAATTATACATTACTTTGCTTGGTTTTGTTCTTATTTCCAGCGCAAAACCTAGGGTTCGTTGTGAGATACAACCTCTTTTTTTGTTAACTTTGAGAGTTTAACTGACTAATGAAAACTATGCCAATCTTTCCTTCTTCCAGCATTTTAAGTCTTCCACATCAAGCATCTCCAGTATCCCGCACCCCAAGCCTTCCTGCTGTAGACACAAGCTACATTAATACCTCCCTCATCCAAGACTATAGGCATCCTTTCCACATGACACCCATGCCTTATGACTTACAAGGTGAGTCACTGGTTCTTTTGTATTGTCACATAGCATTATGAATGCCTTTGATTTATCTAGTTCTCTTCTAGGTGAATCTAAGGAAGAACTGGAAGATTGAGCTAACAGGCCTTGAACCCAGGGAACTGAGAGAAATAATATGCTGCTGTTAAAAATACTGACCCACTTCCTGTACTGTCATCAGTAGCCAGTGTTTTACTCCCAGTGGTAGAACTAGTACAATAATCTTTAGATTTTGTGAGCTCCTAAGTACTCCGCAAATTGTTTTTGAATGATCGCTAGTATGTGGGTTTGAATTTTGGTATTTATGAACATTATTTTTTTTTTTGCCGTGGAGGATGGAGTCTTGCTCTGTTGCCTGGGCTGAAGTGCAGTGGCGCGATCTCAGCTCACTGCAACCTCCACCTCCCAGGTTCAAACAATTCTCCTGCCTCAGCTTCCTGACGAGTAGCTGGTATTATAGGCGCCCGCTACCACAGCCGGCTAACTTTTTTGTATTTTTAGTAGAGGTGGGGTTTCACTCTTTTGGTCAGGCTGGTCTGAAACTCCTGACCTCGTGGTCCTCCTGCCTTGGCCTCCCAAACTGCTGGCATTACAGGCGTGAGCCACCACGCCCAGCCCTATGAACATTATTTATTGTTCCCTGACTTTAGTTGTAATGCAACAGGCATTGTGGGTAACTATGTTGTATTATGTTTTAATTAATGGTGAGTTGAGACATTTGAAAGTTTTAGTTTTTATACTAATGAATTTGATCACTTAAAAAGAATTTTTTTTAATTGTGTGGGTACATACTAGGTGTATATATTTATCTGATCCTTCTTTTTAAAAGCAGTTTGAAATGTCAGTATACTCATTTGTATATTTTGAGTTCATAATAATATTATCAAAAAGAATTGTTCTTGTATATCTTTGTAGCATAATAATTTGTATATTAGTCATATAATCTAAGAACTTTTTTTATTAAAAAAGCCATATATGCTCATTGTAGAAAATTCAACACAGAAACATAAAGTGAAAGTTTCCCTCTACCTATCCCCCAACCCCACTCCCCGGAAGTTATAGCTACTCGTGTGTGTGTGTGTGTGTGTGTGTGTGTGTGTGTGTGTGTCGGAGTTTTGCTCTTATTGCCGTGTGTGTGTGTGTGTGTGTGTGTCGGAGTTTTGCTCTTATTGCCGTGTGTGTCTGTGTGTGTGTGTGTCGGAGTTTTGCTCTTATTGCCGTGTGTGTGTGTGTGTGTGTGTGTGTGTGTGTGTGTGTGTGTGTCGGAGTTTTGCTGTTATTGCCCAGGCTGGAGTGCAGTGGCACAATCTCGGCTCACTGCAACCTCTGCCTCCCAGGTTCTCCTGCCTCAGCCTCCCAAGTACCTGAGATTACAGGCACGCGCCACCGTGCCTGGCTTGGCTAATTTTGTATTTTTAGTAGAGACGGGATTTCACCATGTTGGTCAGGCTGGTCTCAAAACTCTCGACCTCAGGTGATTCGCCTGCCTTCACCTCCCAAAGTGCTGGGATTATAGGCGTGAGCCACCGCATCTGGACAGTTATAGCTACTCTTAACAGTTGGTTAGATATCTTTCTATACCTTTTTTCTACATGTATGAAACGCACTGTCACTATCAAGAACAACAGTGCTATGCATTTTGTAAGCCCTCATGTTGTAATCGGTTATAATGTAGACAGTGAGTAGATGCCCAAGTATCTGTGATGTTGTAATATATTTATCTACATCTGCGTGTTTTACTTTTCCCCAAGTTTAGATATCACAATGAAGCATTTAATTCATGCCTGTTTACTTGCTCTTCATCGCATTACACATTGGGTGATCTAGAAAAGAATGTTAATTGGAAGGGGACTGCTTGCAGTGAATCCTCAGCAGCCAGGTATCAGGGCTATTCCTTCTTATGTAATAGCCAGTTTTCAGGCACTCAAATCTCTTCTCCCCTCGTGCCACTGCAGTCTGTCAGTTGAATCTGATAGCAAATGAGCAAAATTTAAGAAAGAAAAATCAGTGCTACAACTTACTTAACCTAACTCTTTCAACTTCAAACTTTCTCACCTGTAAAATGAGGGCAAAAATAATTACATACTTCATGAAGTGCTTGTGAGGAGTAACTCTGAGAGTAGATTGAAAGTTTCCTTAAGAGGAGTCCATGAGAGCATTTGTTAAAAAGTACTATGCCAGTTTAAGGATCAGTGTTAAATCTGACAGAGTGATCATGGCCTCAGTCCCCCAAATGGGGTCACAGAGAAGACAAATCATTGCCAAAGCTTAGTTTTCAGCCTTAGTAATCTAAAGATGGGAGAGACATAAAGCATTTAGCTCAACTCTTCATGTTTAAATAAAATTCTGAGTGACATAGCATTTAAGACTTGTATTTGTTTTTGAAGTATTGGGGCATTTGGAAGAGTTTTTCCTTTTTTTTTTTTTTAACTGAAATAATTTTTTCTTCCACAGGATTAGATTTCTTTCCTTTCTTATCAGGAGACAATCAGGTATGTTATGAAAAATTTACTGTTACTTTAATTGTACATTAAAAATACAGTCATGTGCCGCATAATGACATTTTGGTCAATGACAGACCATATATGCATTCCATAAGATTATAATGGAATTGAAAAATTCCTACATCAATTATAGCCATGGTAACATCGTAGCACAAGGCATTACTCACGTGTTTGTGGTGATGCTGGTGTGAACAAACCTATGCCACCAGTCATGTAAAAGTATCGCACATACAATTATGTACAATATAATAATAACTATGTTACTGGTTTATGCATTTACTTTATTTTTTATTGTTATTTTAGAGTGTACATCTTCTACTTATTTTTTTTTTTAAGTTTGCTGTAAAACAGTGTGCAATGTTACTCCAGGACAGCCTCATACATCCCAGTTAGCCATATCTCTTGATTGCATCATTTCCTCTTGTGCTTGATTAAATCTTGTCTTGTTTTGTTCATCATGGCCCCTGAGCATACAAAATCCACAGCTAATGTTGCCAGTAAGAGGCCACATCGAGTGATTGACATGGCAAAAAAATTAAGAGTGATTAAGGGGACAATGAAGGTGGAAGATCAGTGATGGTTATTGCTCACCAGTCAGGCAGTCCCATTCTACCATAGCCACAGTCTTAAAGAACAAGAACAAAGTGACAGAAGCTGTTAAAGGATCTGCTTCATTGAAGGCAACAAGACTAACAAAAATTTGAGAAGGGCCTGTATCAGATATGGAGAAACTTGTAGTGACCTGGATTGAAGACCAGACGAAGAAACATATCCCTCTCAGCACCATAATGATCATGGCCAAAGCAAAAAGTTTGTTTGCAATGTTTAAAGAATTTAAGACTGGACCCAACAACAGTGTTAAATGTACTGCTAGCTCTGGGTGGTTTAAACGATTCAAGAATCATTATTCATTATGTAATATCAAAGTGAGTGGAGAGTCTGCAAATGCAGATGTGAAGGCAGCTGAAGAATTTTTGGAAACTCTAGATAAGCTGATTATGAAGGAAGATTACTTGCCAGACAAATTTTCAATATGCATGAAACCTCCCTATTCTGGAAATGAATCCCTGAAAGGACTTTCATCCATAAAGAAGCCAAGTCAATGCTAGGTTTCAAGGCTTTTAAGGACTAGATAACAGTCTCGCTTGGGGCAGTATTGCAGGCTACAAATTGAAACCCTTTGTGATCTGGTACAGTGAGAACTCCAGAGCCTTCAAGCATGTCAGCAAGCACACACTGCCCATGTACTACACAAGCAATAAGAAGTCATGGATGACTCAGCTCTTCTTCCAGGATGTCCTCCTGAATTGCTATGCCAGCAAAATGGAGAAGTACTATTTAGAAAGTAACATACTTTTCAAGATTATGATTTTTGTTGATAATACTCCCACACATCCTCATTTGATTGGTGATCTTCATCCCAATATCACAGTGTTGTGTCTCCTTCCAGGTACCACATCTTTGATCCAACCAGTGAATCAAGGAGTTGTAGCAACTTTTAAGGCCTATTAAAAGATCCTGAGGAGGATCCTTGCCCAGGCTCTTGCTGCAACTGAAAAACACTGAGAAGACACTGATGCAATTCTGGAAGGTTTACAACAGCTATGACTGCATCAAGAACCTTGCTTGGGCATGGAGTGGTGTCACCAAGGAGTATGTGAATGACAACTAGAAGACACTGAAGAAGTTTGTTCATGACTTCAAAGAATCTGCTAAGGATGAAGAGGTTGCAGAAATCAACAAGGCTGTGGTTGAGATGGCAAACAACTTTAACCTAGATATGGATGAGGATGACATTGAGAAGCTCCTAGAGGTGGTCCCTGAGGAATTGATTAATGAGGATCTGTTGGAACTGGAACAGGAAGACGTAGCTGCAGAAGGTGCAAGAGAAAAGGAAACTGCAGGAGACAAAAAGAAAGAACCTCCAAGAAAATTCACAGTGAAGGGTTTAGCAGAAGCTTTTGCAGACCTCAACAAGCTCCTTAAAAAATTTAAGGCCAGGCGCAGTGGCTCATGCCTATAATCCCAGCACTTTGGGAGGCTGAGGCGGGCAGATCATGAGGTCAAGAGATCGAGACCATCCTGGCTAACACGGTGAAACCCCGTCTCTACTAAAAAATACAAAAAGAAATTAGCCGGGCATGATGGCAGGCACCTGTAGTCTCAGCTACTCGGGAGGCTGAGGCAGGAGAATGGCATGAACCCGGGAGGCGGAGCTTGCAGTGAGCTGAGTTTGTGCCACTGCAGTCTAGCCTGGGCGACAGAGCAAGACTCCATCTCAAAAAAACAAAAAAAAAAATTTAAAAACACGGGCCCTGGCCAGATGTGGTGGCTCACACCTGTAATCCCAGCACTTTGGGAGGCCAAGGCGGGTGGATCATGAGGTCAGGATTTCAAGACCAGCCTGACCAACATGATGAAACCCCGTCTCTACTAAAAATACAAAAATTAGCTGGGTGTGGTGGCATACACCTGTAATCCCAGCTACTTGGGAGGCTGAGGCAGAAGAATCGCTTGAACCTGGGAAGCGGAGGTCACAGTGAGCCAAGATCGCGCCACTGCACTCCAACCTGGGCGGCAGAGCGAGACTCCATCTCAGAAAAAAAAAAAAAAAAAAAAAAACGGGTCCTAACAATGAAAGGTTTTCATTAATAGAGAGGAATGTTTGTGGTACATTATCTACTTACAAGCAAATCTATGATAAAAAAAGAAACCAAGCAAAACACCATGGACATATTTCTGAAAAGAGTGACACCTCCTTAAGAAGAGCCTCACGCAGGTCCTTCAGTGGGTGTGCCAGAAGATTGTTGTCATAGCAAATGACAGCTCCATGCATGCTATTTTCCCTGAAGACCATGCAGTGGGACAAGCTGTGCAGGTGGAAGACAGTGACATCGACAACCCTGATCTCCCTGTGTAGGCTTGGCTAATGTGTGTGTCTTTGTTTTTAACAAAAAAGTTAAAAAGTAAAAAATATTTTAAAATGTTAAAAATGGAAAAAACTTACAGAATAAGGATATAAGGAAGGAAATATTTTTGTACAGCTGTACAATGTACTTGTGTTTTAAATTAAGTGTTGTTACCAAAGTTTTAAAAAATTAAAGTTAATAAAATTAGTTAGCTAATGTTAATTTATTATTGAAGAAGGAAAAATATTTTTAACACATTTAGTGTGGCCATAGTGTACAGTGTTTATAAAGTCTATAGTAGTGTACAGTAATGTCCTAAGTCTTCACATTCACTCACCACTCACTCACTGGCTCACCCAGAGCAACTTCCAGTATTGCAGGCTGCATTCATGGTAAGTGCCCTGTACAGGTGTATTATTTATTTATCTTTTATACCGTATTTTTACTGTACCTTTTCTATGTTTAGATACACACATACTTAGCATTGTGTTACAGTTGCCTATGGCATTCAGCACAGTACCATGCTGTACAGGTTTGTAGCCTGGGAGCAGTAGGCCAGACCACACAGCCTACGTATGTAGTAGGCTCTACCATCTAGGTTTGTGCGAGCACACTCTGATGTTTTCACAACCACAAAACCACCTAATGATGCATTTCTCAAAACACATCCGTGTCGTTAAGCGACGCATGACTGTATTTAAAAGTATAATGTGTAGCCGAGAGAAAGAATAAATTTCCTTGGAAAACTTCAGAGTAATCATACCCATTATTATGGCTTTAAAATTTAAATAAAAATTCTTTCTTTCAGTGGTGCCTGAGTGTATAGTAAAAACAGTGTCTTGGTTTCCAGCACTGTTTTATAAAGAAACTGGGCAGTGAGTCATACTGACTGATAGATTTCTTGGCTACGTATCTCCTTACTAGCAAAAGGGTGGACTGTCTGCCCCTCCCTCTGCTTCTGAGCATATGCTTCTTAGGAAATAGAATTGATAATTGCTTGCAATACAAACTAAAACAAAAAACAATGAAATTTTTAATTTGTTTTTCCTCCAGTTTCAGATACAAAAATGTCTTCTCAAGATCAATGCTCCAGTCGTTACATAAGATCATTTGATTTTGCAGAATGTCTTAGTAAATATTTCAGAAACCCTAGATACTCAGGCTGTCTTAAATGTAGGGCTGTGTTCTGCTGAGGAGAAAATGTTTTAATTTAGAAGTATAATGAACATTTTTGTGTCTTTTGTTTCCCCTCCCTAGCATTACAACACCTCCTTGCTTGCCGCTGCAGCAGCAGCAGTTTCAGATGATCAAGACCTCCTACACTCGTCTCGGTTTTTTCCGTATACCTCTTCACAGATGTTTCTTGATCAGTTAAGTGCAGGAGGCAGTACTTCTCTGCCAACCACCAATGGCAGCAGTAGTGGCAGTAACAGCAGCCTGGTTTCTTCCAACAGCCTAAGGGAGAGCCATAGCCACACCGTCACAAACAGGAGCAGCACGGACACGGCATCCATCTTTGGCATCATACCAGACATTATTTCACTGGACTGATTCCCAGGCCCTGCTGCTTCCATCCCCACCCCAGATCAAATGAACTTGGCAGAAAGAAGAGAACTTTGTGCTCTGTTTTACCTTACTCTGTTTAGAAAAGTATACAAGCGTGTTTTTTTCCTTTTTTTAGGGAAAAAATTAAAAGAAATGTACAGAGAACAAAACTATATTTTCAGTTTTACTTTTGTATATAAATCTAAGACTGCCTGTGTGATAAAAACACTTGTTTAAAAAAAAAAAGGAAAGAAAAGAAAAAAGAAAAAACAAGCACCCACAAACCACCTTCAGCTCATTTTTTTTCTGGATTCTGAAGATTTTTCATCATTTGTCCTATGGTTTTGGTTTTATTTTACTTCAATGGCATTATTTTATTTGCAATAACAGAAAAGGAATTGCATGTATGAAGTTTTAAATTGTGGGCTTTTCTTTGTTGTGGGGAGGGGGTTGGGGGGATAGTTTGATTTCCATTTTCTGAAAACGACAGACTTGGATTCTGTTTGTGTGTGTGTGCATATTTTATCCAGCCTTAAGTTATAAAGCTCATCTGTCCCGCTGCATTCCCTGTGTATTTTCAGGACATGGCTCGTGGGTTGTGTGTTCATTGTGTGCGTCTGTATGTATTTTTCTGTCATCACTGTTCCCTCTTCTCCCGAGTGTGCATTCAGTTAATATAATCAGTTGCTTGCTTCTTTCAAAGTGCTTTGAAGGTCTTGAACTCACGTGTGAGCATCTTTATCAACTATCCCAACTGCATGTTCTCCATCACATATTCTCTTATTTGCTCTGTACCCCGAGAATATGTTTTAGAGATATTGGAATAAAGCTGTCTGGGTAAGGAGTAGGCTTAGCCGAACTATGAATAATACACTTTAGTCTAGTTCTTTATTCTAAATCTGGATTGCCAGTATTGTGTATTTAAACCAAGTCTGTGAATACCTGCTTTTTTGGCCACAGAGTAACAGTTTTTCATGTAAGATCTTCATACCAGAGTAGGAAGTAAAAATAGCTTAGAAAGCCCTGTCAGGTGTTTTGTGCAGCTGACAGAGGTAATGTTACATCACCTCAAAAAGAAAGATAAACAGTCAGTTATTCTAAAAATAAATTGTTTGGAAAGTACAATGCACCACATTTTTGTAGAAGTCTACTATTTGATAAACAGTTGAAATTCAAGATGTGTTTGACCCTTAGTCATTTTTACTCTTTGGTTCTGAGTATACCTATTTTCTTAGCATATCTACCTTGTTTATCTTTTTCTTCACCTTTTAACAAGTATGACATCAGAAAGTCATTTTTTTAGAATTCATGGATCAGTCTGATCTACTCTTATTCATAATGGAACATGTAAATATATTGAAAACAGTTTTTCAGGAGAGAAATATGAGTTGGAGGGAAGGAAAAGTCGTTCTACTTACGTTCCAAAATCCTCATCAGAGAAGGTATGATGTTCTCAGGTGTGGAAAATATTTTTTAGTTGATTGAGAAGGCAGGTTTAACAGAAAATATAAAGAAGGGGCATAATGATTGCCGTTTTTCCAGACTGGATTTTCTTACCACAACTGTTAATGTTCTCAGAGTTGATGAAGGACCACCTTTGTGTATACACTTGTAGTTTTAAACCTTGCATTGGTAACAAAATGATCTACTTTAATCCAGGTAGAATTCAAGATGGCTGTACTTCAGTTGTATGATAAAATTAATGGTTCTCATGACTGTGTGGCATCTAAAAATAATGTTTTTATAGCATCTCTCTGCCACTAAATTGTTGACTTGAATTTTGGAAAAAAAAGTTGGTGTTGATATGTATATGTGTGTGTGTATATATGTATTTATAAACAAGTGTGTGTGAGTAACAAGTGAGTTTCATAGTCTTCCCCTACGCATGTGTATTCCACACACAAATGGCTGAGTTATAGTCATAAAACAATTTGCAATAAAAAAAACAAAACAGATTGTCGGTTAACCAGGAAACAGTTACGTTTTTTAATGAATCTGGTATTACAGTGAGCAAATGTCATATTAATTTAGGCTAATTTCTAATAGTACCATAATTTGTGTCTAAATTTGGACTGGGGTAGAAATTACCAAAATTGTGGGGAGTTTGTTTTCTGATTTTACATTGGTTTAGGAAACATATTTTTACTAATTCAGCTGTCTTAGGTAAAATGAATAGTTTTCTTCCTGTTTTTTTATGTGTCATTGTTAGTGGTCTCAAAATTCTGATCAATAACTTTGTGTATGATGCTGAATTATACAAACTGTTTGAATGATCCAGTGGAAAACATATCCCTCTACGTTCTTCTGTCCAGTTGTAGAGAAGGTTAATTTCCCTCAGTGTCCCACATTTACCAACCTAAGAGAAGAACAGGTAATAGGGAGAAATAAACATAGAGTGGTTTCAGTGGTTTTGGTCATGTGTCCACAGGAGAAACTAGCCATTCAGAAGTTGTCTTAATTATAGTTCATTCCACCCTGTGAGGAGTTTGTTTCCATCAGTTGTTGACTTTCCAAAATGTTGCATTAAGTAATAGTTGTCACTCTGTTGGCCTCATGGTCAATATCAATCACACTTTATGATCTCTACTAATTACTAGTAGAGTCATGTACTATGTCTTTAACTCCTAAGTTTAAAGAAAAGCACAGAGTCACTTCATCTCTTTTTTTCTTAGCCTACCCTCACTCCCCAACCCATGCCAACATTGACATGCTATCTGTGGACAAATAGCAGTTCTCAGAATCTAGTCAAGTTGCCATCATCCCCCTTGCCTTGGCCATTCATAGTAGGTATGCATATGTTTGTTTCTGTAGAGTACTGTGTGTGTGTGTATATTTACATCTGTATGCACACATCTTTGATAAAATAGCTATTTGACTAGCAGGGTTAAAGTGGCTTTTAATTACTTTGTGAGCGTTATTGGATACATCTTTAAAAAAAAAAAAAAACTGAACCAGAACCATGCCACGCTTGGTTGACTATTTTGAGCATTAAAATTGCTTTACTAATTATGTAGACATTATCACAATTCTGTATCTTTACTGACTTAGGAAAGATTCACGTAAGCTCTGAAAACTCTGATTCCTTGGTAGATTTTCCTTTGAGTCACGTGTCTGAAATGGAATGAAAAGATATCCTAACTCTTAAGTTAATATGGAAAGAGCATTGTTTTTAAAACAATTTCGATTTTAAATACATAAAACTTTCAAGATCTTCAGGACTTTTTAAAGCACATTTGAAATTATTTTAGTAAGAATTTTGTTTTATCAATATATGTTGAATTCTGTTTTTTAAACATAAAGCTTAGATTTCAGAAAGAGGGAGGGAAAATAGCTGGTGGTCCCAGAGTGTGCTGCTGTTAATTGTTTAACAAAGGGGAAAATGTATATAAACAGATAAAGTTACCATAAATTCCATGAACTTAAATCTGTGATTCATTGCCTTAAAACTTTCTCTCTTAGAATTTCCATACCGCATGCCAAACCAGTAAAATGGCTTTTAAAAATGTATAGTAGACAATGTCAGTTTGTATAAAAGTACCAAGTGAAAATATTTATTACATGCATTGGAAAAAAAATTGTTTACCTATTGAATGTTACCTGTTTATGTAGAGCTCTTTAGATGTAATAAAAGAAAAGCCTTCAGTTAATTTGTCTTCTGTAAAATAACACTGCTGGGTGTTCAAGGGGACAAAATCCCTGTGAGACAAGTGATAATGGTTTGTGCTTCCAAAGCACCTTTCATCCAGAGATTTCAAAGCATGACAAGTAACTAATTTTCTTGCAGCATGCTTTGAGGTAAGTAATGAATATATAGCCATCATTTCCCTCTCTTGTTGAAATATGGCTAGCTCTTTAATAAATCACAGCATCTGTTCAGCATCTGCAGTTTGAATGCTAAGAGCACCGTGGCCTTCTTGTAAACAACACTAGGTGCTAGAGAAACCAGCTGGAATTTCAGGAATGAGCTTGAAACCAGGACAGGAGTAATATAACAGCCCTTCCTCCGGTAGAGGTTTGAATCGGAACACTTCACAGGATCTTAGGCTCTGGACCACTGGATCCCCTTAATGAGGAGCAGGGAGTCTGTGAAGAGGAGCCCCAGGTTCGAATTCCACACCAGCTGTGTGTTTTTGGCAAGCTATACTTCAGATTCCCGTTAGGCAAATGAGATGCATAAAACTTGCTTTAAAGCCATACTGGGACTATTCAGTGATAAATACAGACATAGAAAAGCTTTGACGGAAAGTACCCTCATTTTTTATAGCCAGAACTTGCTCTTCCTGTTCCATCTAAATCATTGGTATCTATCTCCCATCTAATCTTTGGTATTCCAGGTTGGCTGTGCAGGATTTACTTCCTAATGTCCATGACTGGAGCTCAAAAGAGGTGCCGGCCTAGGACCTTTGAGCCTTGCCTGAAAGTGACAGCAGATCTCTTGGGGGGAGGTGGGGGGTGGGGTGGGCAGCGTCTAACTGGCCCTCTGGTGGATTTACCTTGAAGGTAATGAAATTTAAGCATGAGGACCCCTCACTTGCCCTGGTCCTGGGAGCAGCCCCAGAAATTCTGCATTTCTGTTTTTGTATTCTTAAGGCAGCCAAATCTTATAAACCTCAGATCCCACAAAACATCTGCTTCTACACTGTGCGGACCTGGGCTTCCCAGCCAGATAGTCACAATTTCACCTAGTTGGCATTTTGACCATTTACTTACTCTCACCCCCACAAAACTCTTCTCTGTGGCTCCTAGGAATTCCCACTTACTCCCTTTGCAGTTACGCTTGGGGAAATGAGAGTCTCCTTCCTCAGGGCCTTGTTTGGTTCTGAAGCCACACGGCATTGTTGAGACAGTTGCACTAACACTACAACTCTTGCTCCCTGCAGTTTTCCCTGTGCCCGGTGCCTGGTGGAAGATTTGTGTCTTGTACATCCTCCCAAAAGACACATCCCGTTTGATTTGGTTTTCTTCTGCTTTAGCCTGTGGCACCACTAGACAAAGCCGCAGCCCAGAGAACCCACTTTTGATACATACATGAAAATCTTTGCACTTGGAGCCCTGCAGCCCCTCCTGTGTTGCTGTGGTACTCCAGCCCTTTTTAGGACTGTGCTGGCACTATGAATGATCCAGATTTGACAAGTGTATGGCACCTCTGAATCTCTGACAGCACCAACCTGGCACCTTCTGGCTAACTAACTCAAAGCCACTCGAGCTGGATGGACTTCCAGAAAGCCTAGTGCTCCTACTACTGTTTTCCAGGGCTATTGTACCCTGGCCATTGCTGGTTCCATCCCCTTATTTCTCTCCATAAGTCCTGGGGAAGTGGCTTAAGGCTATGACCAGTGTGGGCCACTTAAGCAGACCTCCCTGGAACCTCTCTGCCTGGTAACAGAGCCCAGGGAACAGCTCAGAATTCTCACAGCATTGGAAGCCCCCTTCTTGAGCTCTGCAAGGCCAGTGAATTCAGCCGCTCACATCTGGTTTGCTTTGGTGTGAGGTGTAAAGTAGATCACTCTTCCCGCTCTCAGCTGATGCTGCCTCATTGTAGCATGTGTTTTCACTCTACAATGTTTTCACTCTATCCTCTGTGTTTATGAACCAATAGCCTGAGCTTTGTCACTGTATCTATCTATTGAGATAGAAATGAGAATTTGTAAATGGGCCTCTGGCACCGCAAGAATTGTCATAAGTGTTACAGCTTTTTGTTTGTTGCAGCTTCTCAGCTAGCACTGGCTTCATCTTGGAAATATGGAAGATGGTTCTAGCCCCCAAATACAGAGTAAGTCTCTTGGTAGATTACCCTTAAGTCATTAGCTCAATCCTTCCTCAACAGGCTCCATGAGGTAAGAAGTGGGAATCCAGCTTGTGTGAGGGCCCCGAAGTTTTCAGGGGTGAAATGATTTGCCCAAAGTCACAGTGGGAAGCGGAAGAGCCAGGACTGGAACCCAGGCCAGACTCCAAACCACAGGCTCCTTCCATGCTTGAAAGGGCCGGACTCATGGTAGTTAATAAAATCAATACAAATCTTTTATTAAAAAGATCTGCTCATACCATGCATGGCTGAAATCATCTATTATTGTTGCTAGTTAGCCTCTCTTCAGTAGTTGGGTAATGTTGTCTTGCCACTGTGTTTGCCATCTCCCCCAAGTGAAAATAACACTTTTCTTTTTAAAAATTAATCGCTCCAAGTTTTCAGGCCCAGGGGAGGCTCTCGCATTCTCCTCCTTCAATAGTCCTGTCCAGGAAGGGTGATCTTGTGGATAAATTCATCATACTTCACTTTGCCGTTGGGTTCGATACCTGCTTCCCTGAAAAGATCATCCACTGCAATAAATCACATTAATTTTTCAGTTTGGCTTTAGTGTTCCATTATAAAACAGTGAGTTCTTTGGGGACTGGAGCTCCCCTAAGGTCTTCCCTGAGTGTCCAGTTGACTATTCCTATAGACCAGGAAGTAAACCAGTGAACAGAAAGGGACAACCCACCCCTGCCCTCCTGAGACCACGGATTCCATTTAGAGCTAATCAGGCTTTCTGCAGGGGCAGGGAGTAGGGAGGTGTACTGGTAAGGATTTGGTCACTGATGCCACCCTGGGCTTTTTTTTTTTTTTTCTTTTTTGAAACAGAGTTTCGCTCTTGTTGCCCAAGCTGGAGTGCAATGGCGCAATCTCCGCTCACTACAACCTCCGCCTCCCAGGTTGAAGTGATTCTCCTGCCTCAGGCTCCCGAGTAGCTGGGATTACAGGCACGTGCCGCCACACCCAGCTAATTTTTTCTTATTTTTAGTAGAGACAGGGTTTCACCATGTTGGCCAGGCTCGTCTTGAACTCCTGACCTCAGGTGATCCACCCACCTCAGCCTCCCAAAGTGCTGGGATTACAGGCATGAACCACTGTGCCTGGCCCACCCTGTGCTTTTATTTTTATTTTTTCATGAAAATATGACCCCTGTGCCTCTATTTCTAGAAACCTTTGTCCTGGAGTTTTTACCTTCCACCAGCTCAGCCTGCAGGCAGAGCGAACATCCTCGGCAGCCCCAGGCTTCGGCCTGCCCCTCACTTGCCTGCCTTCTCCCCTAAGCCAATGCTCCTCACCACCCCTGCCCCCACCCCAAGAGAGGACTTAGTGAAAAGCACTGTCTGCTACCATCACTTCTAAAAAAAAGTATGTTTGGGGGATGGGTTTTTATGAGAGAAAAATAAATCCAACTGTGTTGAGAGCTCACAGCATACAAGACTGCCATTGTTCTCCATCGCTCCAGAAAAAAAAAAAAAAAAAAAAAAAAACTTCATTTGCTTGTTTCTTCTGGTTCTGGATTCCTGGGATAAAATACTAGCTTGTCCCAGGTGTTGGCAAGAGCCATTTCAGCTTGTATTCTCCACAATGGCCTCTTGGGGCCAACCTACCATGCCTCTTTAGCCCATCCTCATCTCACTGCCCTGTGTCAACTTCCCAGGCCTGGACACCTTCCACACACACACCCCTGTAGTCAGTAAGAAAATATCCTGTGATTCTGTGCTTAACTATCCTTCTCGAAAGTACAATCACCGTGCCTTGTGCCTAAGCTGATGGTAGTTCTGAGTAATGGGAGAATTTGAGGACACTAATTCATCTCATTTTGTGGAGAAGTTTCTACAATCAGCCAGCTGGCTAAAACCATCCTGGGGGGCAGGCCAACATCAGCTCCAGGGCCAGTCACTGCAGCCTCTTCCCATCTGGGCGAGGGACAGCACTTAGCCAGGTGCTGAGGACACCTGAGTAGAATAGCCTTTCACTCCGTCTCACTTCAAAGACCCATAAAAAGCCAGTGCTGAAGTCAGCCCGTCCCAGGCCTCAGGAGGAAAAGGCTTCACCCGCAGCCGTTCCAAGGATGTTTTTTAATCAAACTGAAAATTGTCTTTCGATCACCCAGAGAAAGGATTCCTGCTGCTGGTATCATTCTTCCCATCTCCCGTGGCAAGTGAGAGGGAAATCGGTGTCCCTGCTTGTCTGGAACTCACCAGTTTCTGTGAAACATTCCTCTGCTGGTTATGAGAGATGTATGTGAGTCTGTGGCCATGACATTGCTTTAGGACAGAGATCATTAACCACAAAAATAAGGCCCTGCTCCCTCTGCTGACTCCACCTGTTGCCTAGAGGGCTGGGCGGTGTCCTGCGGGGAGTCTGGGAGGGAAGGACGGCCCATGTCTTCCCTGTCTATGTGAAAATAGCCACAAGAGGTGAGCCTGGGAAAGTGGGGTATGGAGACCCAGCCTGCTGTTGGGCGATTGATTATTTATTTATTTATTTACTTTTGGAGATGAAGTCTCATTCTGTTCCCCAGGCTGGAGTGTAGTGGCGCAAGCTCGGCTCTCTGCAACCTCTGCCTCCCAGATTCAAGCTGTTCTCCTGCCTCAGCCTCCCGAGTAGCTGGGGCTACAGGCGTGCGCCACCACGCCTGGCTAAGTTTTATGTCAGGCAATTTTTAAACTCTCTGCACTGTGCCTTAATGGCGGCAGCTAAAATCTGAGCAGACTGATTTGTAGAGTGGTAGCTCAGAGGGACCTGAGGGGTCACCTTTTGTACCCTCATTTCTAGCAAGGAAAGTGAGGTGGGAGAGAGGTCTCCCAGCACCCAGGATTCAAACCACAACCTCAAACCCCTCCTCCAGTGGTTTATGGTGATTTAACCAGGGACGGAAAGTCCATCATTTTGAAGCCTGTTTTCAGCACCCACTTGTGGCCAAGCCCAGCTCTCCTGTCCCAACCACAGGCCAGCAGGGCAGCCTAACTAGAAACCCCAGGCTCTGAGGTCGGGGTCCCTGGCCTTGGGCAGAGGCAGAGCTGGCTGGCTGCTGCTGATGTGGCAGGGCTGGGCAGGAGGGTCCGCAGACTGGAAGAACAAAGGCTGCAAATGGCCTGGCGTGGGGGTCCCTTTGACAGTGTGTACAAAGGGCTTTCCTAGAAAACCCCAGGCTCTGTCCTGCTCTGAGGCAAGAAGGCCTGCTGGGCTGCAGGAAGGCACAAGGCAGAGAGACCCCTTCTCACGGGGCTCTGGGACCAGGAACCCCGCCTGTCTCGGCAGTTCTCCAAGTGTCCTGGCAAAGTTCCCTGTGGAGCCCCCTTCTGGAAGAGCTTAGAGCAGCCTGAGTTGGAAAGGAAGCAAAGCAGCACCTCAATTCGGAAACTCAACCTCAGCAGCAACTGCAGAGACTGCTGTGATGGGAGGAGGGGCAGGGATGTCTAGACCTGCCTTCACTCCCGCACTGCTGCTCAGGAGCCACTCACTCCCCCGCTTCTTTATCAGTAGAAGTAGGCACTTGTGCTCCCAGGGCTGTCATAGGCACTAGACGAAGCCCCACGGTGAGAGCTTAAACACAGGGGGAGGCCGGACTGCACGCTCCAGCTTCCCTGCCCTGTGGGGTCCAAGCTGGGTTTCCCCCCAGCTGTCCCTTCACCCTGGCAGACTTCTCCCTGCACCCCTCCAGGCCCCCTGGTTCTTCCCCAGGCTCCAGCACCCACCTAGTATGGCATCTGCTCACAGTCTCCTGTGCATGCATCAACAGAGATGGTCTGCACCACCCTGGTGGCATCAGCCGGGCTTTGGTGCCCTCCTCCCAACTTCCTAACCCCCTCTGACTGGTGGGAGACAGGCCCCAGGCTGTTACCTTCCTTGTGGGTGAGCTTCTCCCCGAGGCTCGTAAGTTTTGACCGCAGGTCGGACGCCATGATGTAACCTTTCTTCTCCTTGTCCGCCATCAACATGGCTAGAAGAATTTCTTTCTTTGGGTCTTCTTGTTTTATTTGCATGTGCATAATGGTCAGAAAAGTGGAGAAATCCAGCTCTCCATTTCCATCTAGGGAACCCACAAACACAGCAGAGTGAGCAGAGGGAAAAAGGCTCTTGGGAAGCCAGTTAGCCTCCTGCTGGACCTGCACATCCAGTTCAAGGGTCACCGACCAGGGAACGCCAGGATGTGGCAGTGGTCACAGTGAAGAGGATGCAGCCTCTCCCACCGAGTTCCCACAGCGGGCCCCTCACTGGACTGGACATTCTTCATTTCAGCAACGTCCTCAGTGATGATGCTTATCATCACCCCAAAACTCAAGAAAGCGGGGTCCCATCCACAGATGGAGGACTGGGCTCCTCTACTCCCTTCTAGCGCTTCCCTCCTGCCCTGAACTGGAGGGAAACAGGTCCATGTGTCCATTCCATCTTTGACAACCACCACAGCACATCTACCAGGATGGATCAGTGCCCCCACCTGCGGCCTCAAGCCTCAGTGCCAGGCTGGGCTGCTCACCTGTCTTCCCCTCACTGCAGTTTCCACCCCAGCCCCTCCTCCACGCGCCCTGGCTGGGATGTAACTGCAGGAAATCAAAACTTCCCCTGACTACAACTTCCTATTTGTTTAGAGGAGACAGAAATCAAGGAAACCACTACCGCTTTGGAGCTGGACATGGGGGATCTCAGGTATCAGACCACTGAGCACCCTGCCGCCAGGCTGCAGGCCTTCAGAGGCCCACCTGGGCCCAGCGTGGCCTGCCCCAGGGCAGGATCCCAGCGCCACTGCGGGCATCCTCTAGTGGGGCCTTCGGTAACCCTAGCAGATGGTGGTGACCCCCATGAGATGAGGAAGCTGGGGGCCTGAGACTGAGCAGCAGCCTGTGGGCTCTGGGTCAAGTGTTCTTCCCAGGGGACCCCCTTCCCCTGGGCCAGTCCCTCCTTCCTGAGTGTCCAGCCTCCAATGCAAACAGCCACCCCAGCCTCTGAAACTACTACTTTTTTTCTTAGAAAAAAACACAACAAAACATAAAATCTGCTTCTGACTGTGAAAAGCCACATATGTTCTCATTGTTGAAAATACAGGAAACAACAATAAAAGAAATAAAAATCACCCATAATCCCATCACCAGAGAGAACTACTTGGTAACATTTTGGATGGGTTTTCTTTCGGCATTTTTTTTTTTCTAGCAATAGTTTTTCTAAAAACTATTGCATAGTTTTTAGGTCAGTCTTTGGTATCAGAAGAATTGGGTTCTAATCCTGATGCCATCACTGGCTCAAGAACTTAATGGCTGTAAACCTTGATCTTTGCTTGTAAAGTGGGTTAGGAGAAAGCCAGGCACAGTGGCTCATGCCTCTAACCCCAGCACTTTGGGAGGCCGAGGAAGGCAGATCACCTGAGATCAGGAGTTTGAGTCCAGCCTGGCCAACAGGGCAAAACCCCGTCTCTACTAAAAATACAAAAATTAGCCAGGCGTGGTGGCGGGTGCCTGTAATCCCAGCTACTTAGGAGGCTGAGGCAGGAGAATCACTTGAACCTGGGAGGCAGAGGTTGCAGTGAGCCGAGATCTCATCACTGCATTCCAGCCTGGGCGACAGAGCAACTCTGTCTCAAAAAAAAAAAAAAAAAAAAAAAGAGAAAATGAGGTTAAGAGAATGCCTACTTCGTAGGGTTTTGGAGGTAAGCACATGACAAATACTCAACAAAGGGAAATGTTTCTATAAAACATTGGGATTGCTGTCAGCGCGGCTTTTCCCTGGGTTTGATAAGTCTGTTGGAACGCCTAGATCCCAAGGTCTGTGAGATGAGGTATCACTGATTGCTATGAGGATTCCAGGAAGCCAAAGTAAGGCACAGCACTCCTGGTCTGGGGCTGCCACAGCTGGGTCCCCAGGAGGCCTGCCTGCCAGCTGCCCCTCAAACTGCTGAGCTTTTCACACCTCTACCGTCTGCACCCACCTGCCGGGCCCCTCCCCACTCAGCGTTGTTCCCACCACCACTCACCTATCCCGTGGGTCTGCAGGTGCCACTGCACCTCCCCTGGCGTCGGGCTGGCCCCCAGGCACCTCATGGCCACCATGAGGTCTGTGGCTTTTATCTTCCCCCTCTGCTGCTTGTCATACAGGGAGAAGCATTCCTTGTACTCTGCGCACAGCCCAGAGGCAGGGTCAGCAGCGTCTGGTCACTCTCCGCTGATGCCGCCCTCCCTGTCCTCAGTTTCTTCTCCCTCTTTTCCCCTTCCTTTTGCCCACTCCTGCCATCCCTCTCTCCCCTCCCCTCCCCTCCCCTCCCAAGGGTGCTAGATATAGCAAATGAAAATACAGGACTGCCAAGTTAAACTGAATTCAGAAAAACACTGAATACATTTTAATTGTACGCCCCTAATTTTGCATAGGACATATACTTCTATTGAGAAAGTATTTGTTGTCTGAAATTCTATTTAACTGGGTATCCTGTATTTTATCTGGCTCCTCTTCCCTTCTTCCCTACTCCCCCTCCCTTCCTTCTCCCTCCCCCTCCCCCGCCCAACCCTCAGGACTACAACTCCCAGCACAGTACCCCTCCAGGGCTCACAGCGGAGAGCAGAAACCCACAGCAAGGCGTCCAGACCCCCAGGGGACCTCTGCAAACACAACTTTTCTGGACAATGGGAATAATAAGGCCTCAGGATTACCGTGAGAGCCAGAAATCCCAGGAGGCCTGGCAGAGAGTGGCCCTCATATGGTGATATTATCATCATTAGAGCTGGGGCATTTCTGAGCCTATTGCTCCCGCCCTGGCCTCCAGGCTGCTGAACCCTCAAGCTATCCATGGACTCGGGCCCTGGTCCTGTTCTTAGAGGCTTCAAAGGGTCCAGCTGGGAAATTATCCCAGGGTCTGAAGCCCCTTCTCCCTCGGTACTTGGTAGAGGTGGAAGGCAGCCGGAGCTAAGGCTCCCCTAAACCCACAGTCTCCCGGCCTGACATAGCTGTCCCACAGGCTCCTGGCCTGACACAGCCGTCCCACGGGCTCCCAGCCCTGGGAGTCCCAGGAAGGCCAGCTGGGATCCCAGCCCTGGGAGTCCCAGGAAGGCCAGCTGGGAGTTCAGGGAAAGTCCCTGGGCCGCACTGACTGAACGTCTGATTCGGGGGTAGGTGGGGCTACCATCAGGACAGGGAGATTCTCATCCAGCCCAGACGAGGCACCCGGGCCTGTGGGTGGAGCCGTGGGAACCCAGTGGCCTGGCGCTGGCCATCCTAGGCTGGGGCTCAGGGCTCTCTTCTCTCTCCTGCTTCTCACACCACCCAGGTGGGTCCTTAGAGGCCTGGACAACAGCACCTTAGCTGATGACAGCAACAATGACAGTTCACATTGCTGAGCACTCTGCCCCCAGGCCCTCGCTTCATCCCCACCACCCTGTGACACGCTCCTCATATTCCCATGTGCAGACAGGGCACTGAGGGCTGCAACACTGACAGCCTGGCTGTGGGCAGCTCTGCCCGCCAGGCCACACTGCCTTCAGTTCCAGGGCAAACACCGCTGAGTGCAGCAGAGCGAGGGAGAGGACATAGAAGGAGCCCCCTCAAATCCCTAGCCCAGACCAGCGGTCCCTTCATACTCCCTAATGAAGGCACTCAGGCCTCCCTGGTAGGATTTCAGGGGTGTCACTAAAGACAGGCAGATTGCCATGTACCATTTAGAGACAAATTCATGGCCTTTGTGGAGAGACAGAGGAACCCCCAGTCCCACACACCTGCCCTTTCAGAACGTTCCAGAGCCTGAGCTTCCAAAGGAGCAAACCAAAGACAGGACCAGGTGGCAGGGGCCGAAGCGGCCCAGAGGAAGCAGGGCCAGAGCCTGGCCTAAGACCCCAGCTTTGATTCCCATAAAACCAAATTGCCTGCAAGAGGGCCCAGTGCCAGACGGGACAACGCCATCACTTCACGTCAGGGGGACAGAGAGAGGGCTGCCCAATCACAGAGCTTAACCTTAGCACTGCAGGTGGTGCCCCTGGGACCTCTCATGGCCACTCTCACCTTGTCTTTCTGTCTGGGTTTGCCCCTGGGTGAGGGAGGGCCAGAGGCCCACCGCCGTCCCTGCCTGACCTGTGCTGGAAGGTGCTCATCACACCCTTGGGGTCCAGAATCAGCCTGGATCTGCAGATGGGCGCACTTCACCACTCCCTGACAAGCCCTGTCAGTCACTGGGGACCTGTGGTCCTTGCCAGCAGCAGCGCCAGGGCTCAGAGGCCCAACTCCTAACAAACCTTCACATCAGATATGCGCCGTCTCCCTGCCTCACACGCCTTTAAAGACCTGGAAGGCCAGATGTGAACTTGGAATTCCTGCACTGGAACAGACAGCAGGGTGTTGGAGACCCACCTGGGCTTCCCACTGGCCCCTTCCTCCACCCTCTCTCCACTCTCCCTCCTCACCTCCTGGCTCTCCTTCCTGCTCTTCCTCCCGCCAGGTCGGCCCTCTAACATACTAGCACCTATATTTCACCACGTTCCCCTCCCTCGATGGTGACCCCCGTGAGGAAGGGATTTTTGTCTTTGTGTTCACTGTTGTAGCTCTAGTGCCTGGAACGGGGCTAGCACAAAGAAGGGACACAAACATCTGTTGAATGAAAGGATTAATTGGGTTAAATGAATTGGATTAAAAATCCCCTTTAAGTCTTCTCTTTGAAAATGCAAATCCCCCGGGACAAGAAAGAGACCTGCGCAAGGCCTAGGATAACACCAGCTGTGCTGGAGGTTTAACCATCAGATCTGATCATATATGTACTTGTGTCCTCTGCACTGTACAAACATAAAGGATGTGTAGCACACAACTTACAAATAATACGGAAATGTACACTATTCTTTATTATAAATTCCATCTAGGGCTGGGCACAGTGGCTCACGCCTGTAATCCCAGCACTTTGGGAGGGCGAGACAGGAGTATCACTTGGGCCCAGGAGTTTGAGACCAGCCCAGACAATACAGTAAGACCTCATGTCTACAAAATATTTAAAAATATTTTGTGTGTGGTGCTGCGTGCCTGTAGTCCCAGCTGCTCAGGAGAGAGAGGGGGGAGAGTGCCTTGAGTCTGGGTGGTGAAGGTTGAAATGAGCGGAGATCATGCAATTGCACAGAGCAAGGCTCTGTCTCAAATAAATTCCATCTGGCCACTTGATTACTACGAATGAGTTTTGCCAACTCTTTTTTTTTTTAAAGAGTTTCACTCTTGTTGCCCAGGCTAGAGTGCAATGGCACGATTTTGGCTCATTGCAGCCTCCACTCCCAGATTCAAGCGATTCTCCTGCCTCGGCCGCCCATGGAGCTGGGATTACAGGCATGCACCATGCACCATCACGACCGGCTATTTATCTATTTATTTATTTTTTGAGATAGAATCTCATTCTTGTTGCCCAGGCTGGAGTGTAGTGGTTTGATCTCAGGTCACTGCAACCCCTGCCTTCTGGGTTCAGGTGATTCTCCTGCCTCAGCCTCTTGAGTAGCTGGGATTTCAGGCACCTGCCACCACACCCGGCTAAATTTTTTGTACTTTAGAGATGGGGTTTTGCCATGTTGGCAGGCTGGTCTCGAATTCCTGACCTCAGGTGATTTGCCCACCTTCGCCTCCCAAAGTACTGGGATTACAGGCGTGCACCACCACACCCACCAAGTTTTGTATTTTTAGTAGAGATGGGGTTTCACCATGTTGGCCAGGCTGGTTTTGAGCCCCTGACCTCAGGTGATCCACCCGCCTCGGCCTCCCCAAGTGCTGGGATTACAGACGTGAGCCACCATGCCCAGCCCAAGTTTTGCCAACTCTTATATCCATTGCCAACCTATAGTTTTGATTCGACCATGATTTGACAAATGAAGCTGTATGCCAATGAGTGTGATTCTTTTTCCAATGAAAAATCTGATGTGATCTACTGTTAAACTATTTCTCACCCTTGTACCAAATACATTCATTAAATTGAAACTTATTTGAAATCACCAGCTCTACTGAGCACAATAGGGCTGTCTTTTTAACTTTTTGTATAGATAGATGTAGGGACTGAAACATTGTTTGATCCTACATTATTTAATAATGGCTGGCTTTAACATCCTGCTTGCAAAATTCCTAAAAAAATGGCTCTTGCTAGCTGTAGTGAGCCAGCCCCAGCCTACATGTGGGTGACACCTGCCTGTGCCTGGCCCAGCATCCAGCACGTAACTGACATTATCCCCCTCTGTCCCTGGCTCGCAGCAGCCTGGTGAGGTGGCATATGCCTACTTCACAGGTGAGAAAACCGAGGCTCAGGGTGATTAGGCTTCAGGTCTGCCGCCTCCAAAGCCCCTGTTCTTTCCACTTCGCTAGGCCATCCCGTCCAGTCTTTTACACACTCGTTAAACATTGGTGGCCACTTTCTTGGTGTCAGATACTGGGATACAAAGAGAAATTACCTTCTTCCCTTCTGAGAGCTTTGGCCATCCCAGGAGGGAGGGTCAGTGAGCCTTAAAACCAGGCATGGGTGGGAGGATGCTGAGGCTGAGAGCTGAACTCCAGCCCTCAGTCCACCATTCAGTATCACCTTTGGACCTGGACAAGAGGGTGCTGCCCCGGGCCCTGTGTTTTAAAAGTCCCTGCTCCTGCCCTGGCCCTCCTCTTGGGATAAAGAGTTTGAGGGGTCTACATGGAGGTGCCCACCTGGAGCTCACAATTCCTGCCCCTCTAAACCAAGCTCAGAATACCCAGAACTCTGGAACTCCTGGCCGGGTAACCCTAACCCCATTTGGCTGGGCTCTCAGGACCCTACCCTGGATCACAAGGGCCCAAGGTGCCTGTAATTTGTTGTTGTTGAGACAGAGTCTCACTCTGTCGCCCAGGCTGGAGTGCAGTGGCACGATCTTGGCTCACTGCAACCCCGCCTCCTGGATTCAAGCGATTCTTCTGCCTCAGCCTCCTGAGCAGCTGGGAGTACAGGCACCCACCACCATGCCCAGCTAATTTTTGTATTTTTAGTAGAGACGGGGTTTCAACATATTGTCCAGGCTGGTCTCGAACTCCTGACCTCGTGATCTGCTCGCCTTGGCCTCCCAAAGTGCTGGGATTACAGGCGTGAGCCACCGCGCCCGGCCTTGGTACCTGTAATTTTAGCTCCAGTAGTCAGCGAAGGACTCACTGAGAAGGCGATGTTTCAGCAGAGACCTGGAGGAATAGGGATGCCTGGGGGGACTCTCAGGCCCATTGACGTCCACTGTTGGGACAGGTTCAGGGTCACAACCTCAAGCAGCAGCTGGCTGTGCCTCCTGGGCCTCTCCTGCCAGGTATAGGGGGGCTGCAGTCATGAGGCTCCCCTGGCTCAGGTCTGGGCCCCTGAGTTCTTTGTAACCCAACCCTTTGTGCTCTTGGCCTTGTGGAAATAGAACCTGCATGGTGTGAAACTGAAGCCTGGTCGAGGGCTGGCAGAGTAGGGGACCCAGGGAATGAAGTGCTCACACCCAAACCAGGCTTGATGCCAGGGCAAAGGGGACTCAGTGGACCCCCTCCCATTTTACAGATAGGGAGACTGAGGCCCAGAGAGTAGACGCATCCTGCTGGAGAGTGCAAACCTGGCCTCTGTTCTGTCTCAGTTACAAAGCCCCTCCTCTTTCCCTGCTGTCAGCCATACCTTTAATGGTCTCTCTCTCCATCCCCAGTCCCCTCAGTCCCCAAATCCAACTGGTCAGGCTCTGGAGGGAAACCTAGTGGGCTCTGTCTTAGCGCCCTGGCTTGTAAATCACACTGACACGTATAAAGCCACATTTCTATTTTGGAGGCTTACCCCCGACCCCCAGCCCACTGACGGCCGCCTCCCTGCAGCTCTTGGCCCCGTGGGTGGGCCCAGCTCTCGCCCAGCCACCTTCCTTCCCACCAAGAAAACATGAGCAGAGCAAACTGCCTAATGAGACCCATGTTTTGCTGAGTTGCTAATTAAAGAACAAACCCAACCTACCATTAATTTGGTCTTGGGAAAGAAACTTGGCCTGCAGCAGAGAAAGGAAAGCAGTCAGGGGAGGGCTCCACCTGAGGCTCACACCCCCAGCCCTGGCCAGGCCCACACAGACCCTCACTCACCATCCTGAGGCCCCGGCTGCCACCCGTGCGTTCGCTGCTCCCAGAACCGCGTTCAGTTTCCTCCAGCCTCAAGTCTAAAGTCTGCCAAGCTGGGTGGAGGCCCGGGTAATAAATGCTCGGCTGCCATGGAGACCGGGCCCGACGCCACCAGGGTCAGATTCCAGCTTCCTGAGCACAGCTCAGGACCCGCCACCCAGGCAGGTTGGATTTTTGAGGAAACGGGGCTGTGGAAGGCTCTCCCAGGGCTCAGAGTCTCCGCCTCCAGAAGCCGCAGCAAAGGCACAAATGCCAGTTTCTTCCTGGGAGCCCTGGACTCCAGGAAGGGGTCTTCTCTCTCCTGGGACTCGGCGGGGACACCATCAAGCCCCGACTAGAGTTGGACACTTTACACCCTGGGTCATACTGAAGGCTCCTCACACACCATCTTGGAGGAGGAAGGGAACCCTTCCAAGACGGTCCAACTCAGAGATGGGCACCAGGGCGCGCAGGCTTGGGGCGCGCAGGCTTGGGGCTCGGTACTGCAGGGACACAAGCTTCGGTGCTCTCAGGCTGGGATTCAGTCCTCCCCGCCTGCTGACCTGCTGAGTGACTGGCAAGTCATTCTACCTCAGTGTGTGCCTCAGTTTCCTCACCAGCTGAATGACAGGGCCGTTGGCGAAATCAAGCGGCCAGCGCACAGCCGGTTCCCAGCCTGTGCCAGTTCACCTCCTGCCTTCTGGGGACTTTACAGGTCGGGGAGGGGCCTGGGCTGGGTCTCCAGCCCCACTGCAGGCTCCTCAGGGGCTTGGAGTGAGGCCTCTTAGTGCCAGTTACCCTGGCCAGGAAGGCTCCCCTTTTCTTCCTTCCTTTCCTCTCTCCACCCTCAGCCCCACCCCTTCCGCAGAAGCTGCTGATGCTCCCAAGTCCTCAGGGCTTCGTGCTGCTCCCTTCCCCCACATAGGAGGAAACGGGGGCACGGTGTGAGGCTTCCCTGGCTTCTTCCCCTTGAGATCCCATTTCCCTGTTTGGGGCGTGAGGTTTTTGTCCACAGCTGAGTCTATGGGGCTCTACACCCGAGGTCCGGCCCACAAGTAGGTGTGGCCGCACAGGTGTGCCCTACACAAGGGCCCCCAACCCAGGTGCGAGGGGTTGCTGGCCAGGGGCTGCACTGCCCATAGGAAGGGGGGCATCGTGCCAGTTTGCACACAGGCACAGGGACAGGAGGGGCTGCCTGTGCCCCATTCTCCCCTCCTCTCCCCTTTCCTGACTGCCTGTGTGGAAAGGGTGCTTTTCCCCCAAATCACATCCCCAGAGTCGCCTCTTTACACCTGTTTCTAGACCCACAGAATTTTAGCTGGGGACTCGACTCCTCCCTGTCAGAGTTGGAGGCCCCTGCTCCCTTCCCCCGGGGCAGGGATAGAGGACAGGCTGCCTCTGTGCAGACGATGGAGAGAAGGACGTTAAGGAGTCACCTGGGCTCTGGAAGCCTGCAGGCGGCCAGGCCAACACAATCCCACCGAATCCCTCTGCCTGTGGGAAGGTGCTCCAGGAGAGATGAGGTGGCTCCTCGGAGTTAGGCCAGTGTGTGCTGGGGTGCCCTGGCCAACTCCCTCCTCACGTGTGTAGGTGTCCCCAGGGGATGCGGCACAGATGGAAAACATCGGCATGGGGCAATGGCTGCGTGGGGGTTCACGATACAGCAACTCACCACGCTGTGGGGCGCACCGTGTGTGCTACACCTCAGCACAAAAGGGAGAAAAGACAAAAACACCTCCAACAGCAACTGCAGCTGTGACTGTTTGCTTTATTCTTGAATCCCGGGTCCCCGTGGCTGGGGGTCCCTTCCCATCCCTGGGCACCACCATGACTTCCTGTGGGTCCCTTCCCTTCTGTCCCCGACTCTGTAGACCCCCCCATGGGAGGGGTCCTAGGTAGGGGAGGCTCCTCCTCCCTCCAAACCAGGGGTCATGCTGTCAAGGCAAAGCCTCTGGACCCAGCACCTTGTAAAGGCTTTGATGAGAGGAGCTCCAGCTTTTGCTCAGGGCCTTTGGCCCCACCACCCAGGAATGCAGGCGCTCAAAGCCTGTGGCCACAGTTCTTCTGGAGCGGGAGCGGGAGACAGAGCTTTGGGTAGAGGAGGGTCGCCTGGAGAGCTGGAATGCCAGGGGAGTTGGCGGTGCCTCTGGCTCCTGGGGGTCAGGCTGGCTCCACACCTCATAGGCCTGAGCCTGGGCAGGGTCTGGAGTGCACATAGCCCCTAGGCAGGGAGAGGGCAGTGACAGGACCAAGCCACTCATCTGTCCCAAAGCTGCCCCCAAGGGGTGTCAGCAACCCCAACCCACTGACCTACTTTGGGACCACAGGCCCATCTAGTGCAAATGAGGTCCAGACAGGAGAAATGCTTTACTCAACAGCCACAGAGGTTGATGTAACCTATGTAATTAATGTAGGGTCAGGGTAGGCCTGAGGGATGAGCCAGGTGGTGGGTGGGCGACACACCAGGTCCCCTCCTGGCCTCTGCCCCACCCAGCCCTCTCCTGCACAGCTACCAGAAGAACAGACCAGCCCCAGCAGGGAGAGTGTGGTCAGGTGCAGAGGAGGGCAGGGGCCCGGATCCTGGCCCAGAAACACTCTAAAACAGAATCCGATCCTGAGATGATCCAAATCAAACAGAAACTTGACGGAAATAGTAGAGTCTGAAAATGATGCACTCTACACACACATATACAAGACACACACACATATGAATCCACGCACACACGAATCCACGCACACAAGGCACACCCCACTCATGCTCTCAGTCTCCGGTTACACACCCACACCACACCCCCTACCCCTGTATTCAGACACCCTCTATGGCCCACCTCCCACCCAGCAGAGCACCACAGCCTGGTGCCAGGGACTCAGTGCCGACTGCTGACGTGAAGGGTGTAGAAAGCCCAGGGCTCAGGGACGTAGATGACACCCGGGTACTTCTTCCTGAGAACAGGGTCATTCCACAGCCAGGCGACCCAGAGCGCCACCAGCAAGAGGGTCAGTGTGAAGGAGGAGAAGAGGAAAAGGCCGTTGCTGTCCAGGAAGAGGCGCTTGCGCTTCTGGTGCAGGACGAGGGCCAGCATGGCAAAGAAGGTGAAGATGAAGAGGATGAAGATCTGGCCCTCGGTGACCAGGTACCTGGGAAGGCCAGGGGGGAGTGAGGCAGCTGCTGCGGCAACCCCGTCCTGCCTGGCATCCCTCCCTGCGCGCGAGAGCCAGGCTGCCCTCCAGGCAGGCAGGAGCGTCCTCTGGCGCCAGGGCTCAGTGAACCCTGCCGCTCTAAGCCACAGCCCACGGGCAGCATACTGATGGAGCTGGTATAGTTACTGGGTTTTAGATGTGGATTTTGTTGCCAATATTTAAATAACAGAATACCTACAAATGTATATTTCTGGCTTCTCTGGTCACATTAAGTTTGTATTTCCACACAACAAAACCTGACTAGAGGAGAAAGCAACAAACAATTGCCACAACAACGGCAGCGGCCCCCGCGGCAGGACGCCGGGGTGAGGACCCGCAGGAAGCGCTCCGCTAACATCTTTCCCGCTCACTGCAGCTGCCACCCACTCTTTTTAATCCCCAGAGAGCGCACAGATGAGCCCCAGAGGGTCATCTCAGCCACACAGGTGACAGGCCGGGGAGACGGTCTAGAGCTGGCCCAGGAAAAGAGGCCCTTTTCGTTTTGAGGGAGGCCTCCCATCAGAGAAGGGCCCAGTCCTGCCCCCACCCTGTCCTTCCCATGACACCCACAATCCCAGGGTGACCTGTCTCCAGGGCAGAAGTGACAGAGGAGGGCTGGGAGACTGGCAGAGTCCTCTGCGATGGGAAGAAGAGAGAGCCAGAGGGGACAAAGACCCCAGACCAGGTGCCCCTACGCCATCAAACCCCTCAGTCTGTCTTTGGCCTCACCATAGTGCTTTACATTTGACAAAGCCCCTCTCTGTCCTCAGCATCCTCATCATCCGAGAGGTAGACAGGCAGGTACCATCATTCCCATTTCACAGAGGCGGAACCCGCAGCCCACCACAGGGCTTGGTGTCGGAGGTGGATTGTGCCGGCCCCAGGGCAACACTGGGGTTCTTGAGATGGGGCACACAGCGAGAGGGGCTTGAGGATGGAGAGAGACTGTGCAACCTCGCCCTCTCCTCCCACCTCCCTGCCATACCCAGGCCTGGGCTTCACGGAAACAAAGAGGCCACCACAGGGCATTGTCACAGTCCCCACTAGACACAAGAGGAAGCAGGGGCTCAGAGAGGGCCAGTCTCCCCAGGGCCACACAACAGCTCCATGGGCAAGTACAGAATTTTGCCGCCGTGGCTCACTCCGTGCCCCTGCCTCTGCCCCCATGCTGATGTCTACTCACCAGTAGTACAGGCCACTGGGCGCCACCAGGAGCAGGGCAGGCCCTGGCATCCACCTCTCAGCTTTACAGGCAGTAAAGCAGCCGCTGAAGTACATGAAGAGGATGAGGAAGAAGGGGATGTACCTAGGACAGGAAGGCCAGTGCCTCAGAGGCCTGCTCAGCAGTCCCCATCCCCACCACCTCTGCACCCACTCCCACGGGGTCCCACGGAGTGCCACGTCATGGTTTACAAAACGCCTAGCCTGGGTGAGAGGCGCTCCTCTCCACCCGACCTTGCTTGTGCTGGGCGTCAAAGATGGGACAGAAACAGAAACAGGAAGGCAAGGCTCATGTGAGTCAGAGGCCCAGAGGCATCCATACTGCCCAGGGCACCTCACTCACTCCGTGGGGGTGGGGGGCGTCTGGGGGGTTGTCTGTCTCATGCACCGCAGACGCAAGCAGCCCAGCCCCACACTAGCCTGGACACAGAGGCACGTCCCGGGCTGAGGATGGAGGTCCACATGTTAAAAAAGAGAACAGCACCTGCGGGGGCCTCTCGGTGAAGTGCTGCACCCACACTCAGCACACAGCCACACCCCCACCTCAGACACCTCACCCCAAAATACCACCCTCTCCCCTCTCCACACACTGGCTCCCTTTCTCCCACCTGTGCTGACTTGCACCAGTATACCCGCCTGCCTCTTCTCACCCACACCCGCTTCCTGCTGGGGCTCCAGCTCTCTGCTCCTAGCCCCTCCACCCTTTCCCAACCTTCTGTGGGAAGAGGCTCTGGCAAAGGACAGGGAAACATGGCAGGAGGCCTGTCCAGGGACCTTGGACCAGCTGAGCCAGGAGGATTGACATCGCAGAGCCCAAAACAACCTGGAAACACCCGTGCAAGGTGCATGTGCCATGAGCGCCAACTCAGGAGTGAGCCGGGTCCAGGGCTGGCCCTCACCTCCCAGCTGCACTGCTGCCCTCGGAGCCCTCCGAGCCCTCCTCCCGCTGGCCTCAGCTTCTCCTGGCTAAGATGGGAGGCTGGAACAGATGAAGCCTCCCAGCCTGGGCCCGGGATCTCCTGAGGCTGAGGCCACATTTCTGAGGTCTCCCCCTGGGAATTCTGAATTGGGGGAGCGCAAACAGCACGCCCCTCCCCAGCCTGATCCAGCTGACTTCCTGCAGCTTCCTCCACTCCCAAAGAGCAGGCCCGACACCGGTGGGGGTCCCTGGCTCCGCCCCCACCCTCCACATTACCATCTGGGGGTTGTTTATCAGGGACGTGTCCTCCTCCCCCACCCTCAGGGCTCAGGCTTGTTGAGGGAGGACCAAAGCCGCTCGCTGCCCTCTGCTGGCCACTGCGGGCACTGAGGGCTGAGCGGGGGCGGCAATGCTGGCGGGAAGCTGGGGCCCCGGGCCTGGGACAGCTGTTGGGTCTCCCTGGCAACCTCCGGGACAACCTCACCGGAGGTTGAGCTCACAGCGCCTTTACAGGGGATGAGACTCAACACATGGAGACCTGCGGCCCAGACAGCCTTGCTCAGTGTGTCCCTGAGGCCAGTGACAGAGCTAGCCGGTGGTTGGGGCCCCTGGGATAGACAGATGGGCCCATCACTCACCACATGCAGTGACCCAGGTACTCATCATAATAGTACAGCAGCTCAAAGGAGTCGATCTGAGGCACGGGCAGGGCAGAGTCGGGGGGATGTCGATGTCAGTCCAGGGAGGTGCTGGGGCCCCACGCATCCCCTCTGAACAGGCTTCTCCCAGTCCCAGGCCTCCCCCGCTGCCTTATTCCCTACCCGGGGACTTGCCCTCTGTTACAGGGGCCCAGGTGGGAGCCAGTCTGTGCACCACTTCCTAAGAACACTTGAGCATCCTAGCTTGGCACAGGCGACGGTGCCCTCACCTAGCAGAATGCCTTTGGTGGAAGGACAGGTGCGGCGAGGGGTGGGGGCCATTTCTTCAGCCTCCCAGGACAGACTGTGCCCCTAGGGCTTACAGGCAGGGAGCAGGAGGTGGCCTCACCAGCGTCTCCGGCTTGAGATTCTTGATGATGGGGTTCTCGCGGACAGACAGGTGGTGCTGGTAGCCACTGAAGAGCAGGCGGTGGTTGACAGAGTCGCCCACCAGGTGGATGCTGGCACCCATGATGAAGATGATGATGCTCACGTAGGTGATAGAGCGCGGCAGGGTGCGGGGCGACCGCTCGATGAGCTGGGGTTCAGAGTGGGGTTGGCAGCATGACCTCACCTCCGTCACAGTATGTGACACCCTCTACTTCTCCCCTCACACCCAGGGTAGGATGGATGCTTCCGGCTGGAATGTCACTCCAAAAACTGGCTGGTCCCTTTAGCAGGCCAGCCCAGCCTCCAGATCCTCCTGTGACCCCTATGAACCCAGGAGGGACTGGGGAGCAGCACCGCCCCTTCCCACGACTTTACCCAGGGAGGAAAAAGACCAAAGGGCCCAACTCCTTTCCCAAGGTCACACATGACCTGTATGCTGGAGGGGACAGCCCAGCCTTCAATGCAGGAGTCCAGGCTCAGGCCCAGCCCTCCCACTGTCCCTGGCTGTGTCCCTGGGTGGCTGGCCCAGCCTGCTGAAGGCACCTTCTGATTTCTGAATGGTCCCCGCAAACATGAAGAAAATGTCAGGGATGGAGGCAGGTGCTTCTGAAATGCCACTGTTGAACTGAAAACACACCGGAGTTCTGAGATTATACCCCTCCTACTTCTGGAGATTTGAAATATCTTTCTCCAATACAAAATGATGGTGATAGTAAATGGGGATACAGGCTGAGCATCCCTTATCTGAAATGTTTCAGATTTTGGATTTTGGAATATTTGCATATACACAATGAGATATCTTGGGAATGCATATGCAAGTCTAAACATGAAACTCATTTGTTTCATTTTTCTTTGAGACAGGTCTCACTCTGTCACTCAGGCTGGAGTATAGTGGCTCAAGAGATCCTCCCACCTCAGCCCCCAGAGTAGCTGGGACTACAGGTGTGCACCACTGTGCCCAACTAATTTTTAAATTTTTTGTAGAGACAGGGTCTCACTATGTTGCTCAGGCTGGTCTCAAACTCCTGGCCTCAAGCGATCCTCCTGCATCAGCTTCCCAAAGTATTGAGATTATAGGTGTGAGCCATCATGCCTGGAAAAATTCATTTATATTTCATATATACCTTATACATACAGCCTGAAGGTAATTTTATATAACACTTTAAATAATTTTGTACATGAAACAAAGTTTATGTTAAGTACTTATGTGTAGAATTTTCTCTTTTTTTGAGACGGAGTCTCGCTCCATCGCCCAGGCTGGAGTGCAGTGGTGGAATCTTGGCTCACTGCAACCTCTACCTCCTGAATTCAAGTGATTCTCCTGCCTCAGAGTCCCAAGTAGCTGGGACTACAGGTGCACACCACCGCGCCTGGCTAACTTTTTTGTATTTTTAATGGAGATGAGGGTTCACCATGTTGGCCAGGCTGGTCTCGAACTCCTGACCTCAAGTGATCTGCCTGCCTTGGGCTCCCAAAGTGCTGGGATTACAGGTGTGAGCCACTGTGCTGGCCCTAAGTTTTTTGTATTTTTTTCTTTTTCTTTTTTTTGAGATGGAGTCTCACTCTCTTGCCCAGGCTGGAGTGCAATGGCATGATCTCGGCTGAGAATCAAGTGATTCTCCTGCCTCAGCCTCCCGAGTAGCTGGGACTACAGGTGCCTGCCAGTATGCCCGGCTACTTTTTTTTTTGTATTTTTAGTAAAGATGCAGTTTCACCATGTTGGCCAGGCTGGTCTTGAACTCCTGACCTCAAGTGATCCACCCACCTCGGCCTCCCAAAGCACTGGGATTACAGGCTCAAACCACCGCGCCCGGCTGAGTTTTCTACTTGTAGTATCATGCCAGTGCTTAAAAAGTTTCAGACTCCTTTGGAGCATTTCAGATTTCAGATTTTTGGATTAGGGATGCTCAACCTATCTATAGTAGTTTTAAAGCCTCTATTGGCAAAGTGCAAAGCCAGCAGTTCCTGCTTGTGCTCCCAGTGACATCTCAGGGCTCTCCAGGGTGGAGGATGGAGTTCAGCGGCTGCTGCTGCCTCTCCTGCCACCTGGCTTCTTCCTCTCTTCCCAGTGGGTCCCTGACCTCTCCCTGGACCCCCAGTCACTCCTGCCTCAGCCTCCCCAAATGTTTTATGGTTTCCCAAGCTCAGCCTTGTCTTCAGGTCCTTCTACCTGAACACCTTTCTGCTTCCCCCGCTGGCACGCCAGGCTGACGCTCAAATCAAAAGCCCTTCCTTGGGGGCGTATTTTCCATCCCTCCCAGCAACCGGCAGCTCCGCCTCCCCTGGGCCCCAGGCCCTGGACATGCTGCTCTGCCACAGCCTTCACCCCCCAGCAGCAGGCAGGAGCATGCTTGAGTCAGGACACCGGGCCTAGCATCACCTTCCTGCCAGGTGTGCAAAGAATGGGGATGACAGGAGAGAGTGGGGGACCTGGGACAGTACCTTGAGCAGGAGAAAGGGCGTGATGACGTTGTAGGCCATGTGGAAGTAGTCCCCAACGCTGGGCTTGTTGAGTGGAAACCATTCGAGAGGGAATACCAGCTGGGGAGCAAATAGAAGAACGGGCTCACCTGGGCACAGCACCACATGGCCCTCAGGCCTCAAGGGAGTCTGTCCCTAATGCCGCCCACCCCCACCCCTTTCACCCCCCACCCCCATCATGTACACTTAATTCTTTCTGTGATCGCTGGACCTTCTTGGTAGCCCTGGGACAAAGGTTTATCAAGACAGGAAAGCTGAGTCCCAGAGGAGGTAACGGACTTGTCCCCAGACACACAGCAGACGCGATTCCAGGCAAGGCCTGACCCTGTGCCCCTCACCCAGCAGATACCAAATAAATGACCCTGATACCAGCTTGGGAGTCGGTAGGCTTCTCAGGGACTCTGTTCTGACACCAACTTGCTGGGGGACCCTGGGCTAATCCTTCCCTTCCCTGGGCCTCAGTTTCCCCATCGATAACACAAGAGAGGTGGCCCAGAGGGCCTACTTGGACCCTTTGGGTTCTGGCACTCCAAGATCAGTCTCCTGACTGCTAGGCCCTGGTGTGGAGGGACTGCTTCCAAACCAGGTTCAAAGTACACATTAGGAGACAAAGTAGAAAATAAGAATGCTCTCTCTACAAAGTGGCTTCAACTCTTCCTTCCCTACCTTCCTAGAGAGAGGCAGGCAGGCCAGGGCCAGTTCCTCCCTCTGGAATGCTCTCTCTTCTGAGCCCTGGCCTTGTCCAGGCCAGCATGAAAACCCCTATGCAGGGTCAAAGCATTTCACAACCCCCAGACTGTACTCCTAGTCTCTGTTGATTGAAAACACGTGTAATGCCCACAAGTTTCAAGGAACGATTTAGATGGTTATCTCTTTTAACACAGAAATGCCAATATTGGATAAACTAAACCTGCAGAAATAAAACTCACAATGCAGCAATCTCAATCTCTCTCTCCTCTCTCTCACTCAATGTGCATGTGTGTATCTCTTTGCCTACATCATATATATACTTGCTAAAATATTCTGTGATAGCAAAATACCAGAAGTAGGCTGACTCTTCAATCAAACAGGACCAGTTGAATCCCTGATAGTACTTCTAAACCATGGAAGGTTAAGCAGCCATTAACAGAAATGACACCTTATATGTGCTGACATGGAGAGAGATCTGTAATATATTCTGGTTTTTTCTTATTTATTTATTGTTTATTGAGATGAGGTCTCCCTATGTCGACCAGGCTGGTCACAAACTCCTGGGCTCAAGTGATCCTCCCACCTTGACCTCCCAAAGTGCTGGGATTATAGGTGTCAGGCACCAAGCCCCATTAATTTTTAAATTATTTGTAAAAGCAGGGTCTTGCTATGTTGCCAGGGCTGGCCTCAAGCGATCCTCCTGCCTTGACCTCCCAAAGTGCTGGAATTACATGTGTAAGCCACCATGCCCCACCATATGATATATTCTAAAGGAAAACAAGCAGGTTGCAAAAGAAAGTATAAAGCAAAATCTCATCATGGTTAGAAGGGAAAAGGATGTATATAAGTGTTTGTATGAACAGAGAAAAGAGTGAAAGGGATGTTCCCCAAACTGTCAGCAGTGGGACAGGAATGGGGTAGGGAGAGTCTAACACTTCTTTATGTTACAACTATGTTCCATCTATGACATGTTACTTTAATAACTTGTAAATGTTTTTGTTTTTAGTTATTACAAATTTGCAACTATTATGCATACATTTGAAAATCTCTAGCTTATATATGAGCTTTTCAAATGTCTACTCTCCACCAAGTTCTACTTGGGGTTACAGTGGTCACAGTAGCTCTGGGCAGGACGAGGGAAGTGATTTGCCCAACAGGAGACCCTGTTATGCCAGTAGAAGCTGGGTCCTAGTGAGTGAGGCCCACTCCAGGCCTCATCTCTCCCTCTCCCCAGAGCACCAGTTTGATGGGCAGCTTCTCTGGTCCCCAGTATGTGGTTCCTTCATGCTAGAAGAGGGTTCAGAGCGGCCAGTCAAACCAGTCTTCTTGGACAGGAGAGAAATGAAGCCCAGGACAGTGACTTGCCCTAGGTCACACACAAACCCAACCAGATGCCCCAACTCTTGGCTCAATTCCTCTTATTTTTCCACATTTAAAAGGCAACCTTCAAAAAGTCTGCAGGAAGGAGAACCAGCACCCACCATCACTCCCTGACAGCACTGCCAGGACAGCTTCTCTTTACGCCCATCAAGTCTTTGATCCCAGGTAGACAAGCTCGTTATTGAACTGCAATTAGTCAGTCTGCGTGTCATTTAGGAACTTTTTTCTCCTTAAATATTCCAGGTTGCTCTATAGTATCCATAATTTCTGCTTAATGGCCAGGAAACATTCTCTATACTGGACATAGCAAAACTGATTTACCCAGTCCCTAATGCTGGACACTCAAGTCACTTCTAAGGTTTGGCTATTATAAACACCACTGCAATGAACATCTTTGAGTTAGAGGACGCTGCTGTCTTCTTGCTGATTATATCCTTATGGACAGATTCTCGGAAGGGTATTACTGGGTCAGCAGGGATGAATATATTCGGATTCTGGATATTTATGTGACAGAGAATTCAACCTCATCAGGAAGGGTTTCTGGGGCCAGAATGCCTGGGCAGATGCTGGCCTCTGCGCTTGCCTTGAGCCAGTTACTTACTCTCTCTCTCTCTCAAGTTTCCTCATCTGTAAAATTGAGATTAGCAATAGTGTCGATATGAGAATTCAATAAACTGAAACATATCACGAGCTTAGAACAGAGTAAGCATTCGATGTTAGCCACTATTCTAACTTTGCTGTAATTATTATTCATTCAATAAAAATGCATTGAACACTTATTGTGTCAGGCACTATTCTAAGTACTAACCTTGCCAAGTTGTTACTTATGAATTATTACTGCTTTCCAAAAAGGCTTTGCTTTGTGTTTGTTTTGTTTTTTGAGACAGAGTCTCACCGAGTCGCCTGGGCTGGAGTGCAGTGGTATGATCACGGCTCACTGCAGCCTCGACTTCCCAGGCTCAGGAGATCTTCCCACCTCAGCCCTGAGCAGCTGGGACTACTGGTGCACATCACCACACCCAGCTAATTTACAAATCTTTTGTAGAGACGGGGTCTTACTATATTGCCCTGACTGGTCTCAAACTCCTGGGCTCAAGTGATCTTCCCATCTCAGCTTCCCAAAGTGCTAGGATTATAGGCATTAGCCACCATGCCCGGCCCCAAAAGGTCTTTGCTAATTGGCATGATCACTAGACGTTACAAAGTGCCAGTTTCCGCATTGGATATCGTTATTTTTACACTTGAATTTGCTGAGTGACCTTTGAAAAGTCACTTCCCCTTTATCTTCCAGTAAACTGAGAGAACAGGCCTGGATGCCTTCATATCTTTTGGCTCTATGACTGTGGCCCCTCAGGCAACTGCCAGCAAGTTGGGTGGGAGGGGTCTGGGGGCCATGAATAGTCACACTGTGCCCCCACTACCAAATAATGACTTGATCCCTGGTGATACCTCACTTAATTTTCTTCACGTTCATCTATTTATTATCTATCATCTATCAATTATCTATCTATCTATCTATCTATCTATCTATCTATCTATCTATCTATCTATCATCCATCCTCCCACTATAAGCAAGGGGCACTGGTGCCCTCCCAGCAGTAATCTCTTCTGTGGAGGCCACCACTGGATACTAAAGGATTAAGTAGCCTTGGAGGGCAGGGGATGGTTTCACTGGATGGCATTAAAAATTACCCATGGCTCAGTCATATATAATATGCAAAATCAGCCTATGTGCTTCAACTCCAGAAAAAATAATACTATCCCAAGGTAATACGGAAGGACGGGTGGTGGGGGGTGGGGGTGGATGGCGGGGGTGCTCCACTTCCTTTCCCATACTCCTTTGTCTGTCTTAGTGATTTGGTTCAACCTGGTTCACCTGCTTCCAGACACAGGCCAGAGGGGGTTACAGTATTACAGTATGACTGTTCAGGACCACCAGTTCCCCCATGGGAGTCGGGGCACAGTATGACTCTTCAGGCCCCCCCACTTGCTGGCAGTTGCCTGACGGGCCAAGTCATAGAGCTAAGGATATGAAGGCATCCAGGCCTATTCTCTCAGTTTACTGGGAGATAAAGGAGAAGTGACTTGTCTAAGGTCACTCGGCAAATTCAAGTCACAATAAGTGTCCTCAGTGCTGGTCGGGGCCCTGTGCACCATTTCACACTCACCATGGCAATGGGGCGCCCAAAGTCCAGAACCCAGTTCTGCAGCGTGAAGTAGAACCAGAGGTCGAGGTGGAAGGGAGCTGTGCGGGCAGCCTCATCAGCGCTGACAGAGCCATGCCTGGGAAGGAACCAGACGAGAGAGGTCAGCTCTTCTCTCCTCCTCCACCAAAATCTTCCCCTGAGATTAGCCACAAAGAGGTCTGGGGACTTGAGGACAGGAGGAGGCACACACAGTTGAGTTCTAGGGATAGGGTTTTGCTGGAAATACTGGGGTCTGGCCCTGCGGTCCAGGGGAAGGTGGACTTCAGCTGCCCCGACCTTAGCTTCCCTGTGATTCAGGAAGGAAACAGCTGAACAGGTGTAACTGCTGGGGTTTCTCCCCTACTGAATGATGGAGGAAATCAAGTAAGGCAAAGATACAGTCATGGTTGAAAAGCATGAAACATGATCATGGATGATGGCAGCTGACCTCAGTTGAACACTTACTGTATTCCAGGCACTACTGTTAGCTGTTTACATATATTATCTCATTTAATCCTCACAGAAACCTTTCAAGGCTGAAATATTACCCCCCATTTTACAAATGAAAAACCTGAGGCCCAAGAGGCTCAGTAACTTGCTCAAGGTCACACAGCTAAGGATTTGAACCCAAATGATAGGGCTCCTGAGCTTATACTTTTAACCTCCATCCCATAGTTGAGTCCATCATGATGGGTCTATGGGATGGGTGTGTGACCGAGCTGGGCCAATCAGAGCCCTCCAATGAAATAGGCCTTAGAGACTGAAATGGGTAGGGCCTCCTGCTCCCTTGATTCCAGCACTATGAGGAGGTCAGGTTGGGCTGCTGGTACTCCTCTTCTCAGCAGGCCACAGTGGAACCTGAGGAGCCAGCAGAAGCAAGGTGATGTGAGAGACACAGGAAGTGGAGTACCGCCTCACCACACATCTTTGGAGGCCTGTCCCTCTCACTAAACAGTTGGTCATCTGCTGTTCGCAGATGCAGTGAAGTTCCAGGACCAGTGCTGCCTCCTCTGGGAAGCCCTCCCTGATGAAGCTTTTCCCAAAGCCCCACCAGCGCACTGCAGGGAGCACTTCGACGCCAACTCAGTCTGGCATAATGGGGCTGGAATTGTACTCTCCCATCTAGACCCTCGAGAACAGGGGTGACCTTTAAGGTTCTCCCAACTCACCCACCACCCTAGCAGAGTTCAAATCCTCTTTACAGAGTCCCTGCAATTACTTGCACACCTCCAGGGACAACAGGTGCATGCCACCATGACCAGCTAATTTTTTTTTTTTTTTTGGTAGAGGTGAGGTCTCACTACGTTGCCCAGGCTGGTCTCAAATTCCTGGGCTCAAGTAATCAACCCATATCAGCCATCCATCGTGCTGGGATTACAGCTGTGAGCCACCATGCCCGGCCAACAGCTTGCTATTCTGTTTTTGATTACTAGGCTTATCAGGAGATCAAGTTAGAAAGGGATCAGCGTGGCCTAGGGCAATACACAAAGCTTGCATGAGGGAAGGGAGCCTCAAAGCACAGATGGATGAATCTAACTAGGCAGAAAAGCAGGAGAGCAGGGTAAAGGCCTGGAGGTGGAAGTGAAGAAGGTTCTGCATGGAGCGGAGATGCCTGGCTTACTGGAGCCAGAGAAAGAGAAGGGAGGGGCGGCTGGATCTTCAGACTGTACAGATAGCCAGTAACCGTGAGGACTGCTCAGTGGTCTGAGACGAGTGACCAACAGAGGCCCCACCCAGCTCCTTCCTCAGTGGCCATCAGGGTAAGGCCTCAAAAATCAGACAGTGATAACCTCCAGGCCCAGAGAATTTAGGTGGTGAAAGAGATAACAGCCTTCAGTTTCTTGCTCTGATACCTCCAAACTGGGCAAAAAGTAGGATGTTCGGTAAGAGGAATAAAGAGATTTTGAAAGCATGAACACTTAGATGTGTGTATCTGGAAGTTATGCGTACCTAGCACACACTAGAGGCTCGGTGACTACTTCTCTTCCACCTCAGGAAGCACCTCGGCCAATGAGAATCCCTGTCATTAGTCCAGCCTAACTTAGTAGGACAGGAAAAAAAAAAAAAAAAAAAAAGAGGGGGGACTGGGCCCAGTGGCTCACGCCTGTAATCCCAGCACTCTGGGAGGCTAAGGTGGCAGATCACCTGAGGTCAGGAGTTCAAGACCAGCCTGGCCAACAAAGTGAAACCCTGTCTCTATATAAAAATACTAAATTAGCCAGGCGTGGTGGTGCACGCCTGTAATCCCAGCTACTTGGGAGGCTGAGGCAGGAGAATCGCTTAAACCTGGGAGGCGGAGGTTGCAGTGAGCCGAGATTGTACCATTGCACTCCAGCCTGGGCAATAAATGTGAAACTATCTCAAAAAAATAAATAAAATCTAAAAAAAAAAAAAAAAAATTTAAAATTAACTGGATATGGTGGCACACATCTGTAGTTCCAGCTACTCAGGAGGCTGAGACAGGATGATCACTTAAGCCTGGAAGGTCGAGGCTGCAGTGAGCTATGACAGTACCACTGCACTTTAGCCTGGGTGACAGAGTAAGAGCTTATCGCCAAAAAAAAAAAAAAAAGCAGGCGCACAGAGTGGATACTCAGCAACCAGCTTGCAAATCAAGATTAGACTGGGCGCAGTGGCTCATGCCTGTAATCCCAGCACTTTGGGCGGCCGAGGTGGGCGGATCAGGAGGTCAGGAGATTGAGACCATCCTGGCTAACACGGTGAAACCCCGTCTCTAGTAAAAATACAAAAAATTAGCCATGCATAGTTGCGGGCGTGGGAGGCTGAGGCAGGAGAATGGCATGAGCCCGGGAGGCAGAGCTTGTAGTATGCCAAGATCGTGCCACTGCACTCCAGTCTGGGCAACACAGCGAGACTCCGTCTCAAAAAAAAAAAAAAAAAGAAAAGAAAAAAAGAAAGGCAACTAGAAACTCCAAGAAAAACAAAACAAAAGCAACATAAGAAAGCAAATTTAGGCTGGGTGCCGTGGCTCACGCCTGTAATCCCAGCACTTTGGGAGGCCGAGACGGGCAGATCATGAGGTCAGGAGATCGAGACCATCCTGGCTAACACGGTGAAACCCTGTCTCTACTAAAACTTCAAAAAATTAGCCAGGCGTGGCAGCGGGCGCCTGTAGTCCCAGCTACTCGGGAGGCTGAGGCAGGAGAATGGCGCGAACCTGGGAGGCGGAGCTTGCAGTGAGCCGAGATTGCGCCACTATACTCCAGCCTGGGCAACAGAGCGAGACTCCGTCTAATAAAAAAAAAAAAAAAGAAAGAAAGAAAGCAAATTTAACTGTTAAACATTATTTGGCTCTGTTAGAACAATATTTATTAAATACATGGCTTAAATAACATACACATTATATATTAATTTTCAATGTTTAGAGTCAATCCACAGATAAAACATGGAAGATAATTATGGTTTTAAAGCAGCAGATAATTATAGTCTACTTTGATAACATGAAAACAGAGGACAGAAATTGTAGGAAAGGGTGATGAAAGCTAAAGTTTAGGGTAAGGGATTAATATCCTCTTTTTATTTTTTAGTTTTTGAGACAAGGTCTTGCTCTGCTGCCCAGGCTGGAGTGCAGTGGCACAGTCATGGCTCCTTGCAGCCTTGACCTCCCAGGCTCAAGCAATCCTCCCATCTCAGCCTCCTGAGTAGCTGGGGCCACAGAAAGGCATGAGATGCCACACATGGCTAATTTTTTAAAATTTTCATTTTTTTAAAAAGGAATCAAAGGCTGGGCGCAGTGGTTCATGCCTGTAATCCCAGTACTTTGGGAGGTCAATGAGGGTGGATCACCCGAGGTCAGGAAGAGACCAGCCTGGCCAACATGGTGAAACCTCATCTCTAGTAAAAATACAAAAATTAGCTGGGCGTGGTGGCAGGCACCTGTAATCCCAGCTACTCAGGAGGCTGAGGCAGAACTGCTTGAACTCAGGAGGTGGAGGTTGCAGTGAGCCGAGATCGCACCACTGCACTCTAGCCTGGGGGACAAGAGTGAAACTCCGTCTCAAAAAAACAATAAAATAAAATAAAATAAACCAAGAAATAGCAGTTGAGTATAGTTTTTAAGAATGTGGACTTGGCCGGGCACGGTGGCTCACGTCTGTAATCCCAGCATGTTGGGAGGCTGAGGTGGGCAAATCACAAGGTCAGGAGATTGAGACCAGCCTGGCCAACATGGTGAAATGCCATCTCTACTAAAAATACAAAAAATTAGCTGGGCGTGGTGGCAGATGCCTGTAATCCCAGCTACTCGGGACGCTGAGGCAAGAGAATCGCTTGAACCTGGGAGGCGGCGGTTGCAGTGAGCAGAGACCGCGCCACTGCACTCCAGCCTGGGTGACAGTGCGAGGTTCCATCTCAAAAAAAAAAAAAGAGTGTGGACTTTGGAGTCTATTTGGGTTCATATCCCAGCTCTGCTTCTAACCAGATCTTCAGCAAGTCACTTAACTTCTTGGGCCTCGATGTCCTCATTTGTAAAATGGAGATAATAGTAGATCCTATATCTCCTTTTTTTTTTTGAGACGGAGTCTCGCTCGTTGCCCAGGCTGGAGTGGTGCGATCTCGGCTCACCACAACCTCCACCTCCTGGGTTCAAGTAATTCTCCTGCCTCAGCCTCCCAAGCAGCTGGGACTACAAGTGCACGCCACCATGCCTGGCTAATTTTTGTATTTTTAGTAGAGACAAGGTTTCTCCATGTTGGTCAGGCTGGTCTTGAACTCCTGACCTCGTGATCCACCCATCTCGGCCTCCCAAAGTGCAGGGATTACAGGCACGAGCCACAGCGCCTGGCCAGTAGATCCTATGTCAAGGGTCGTGGTTTAATTAATATATGCAAAAACTTAAGAGCAGGGCCTGATCCACAGAAAGTGCTACATAGTGTTTGCTATTGTTACAAGCCTATTATTGGAAAATACGAATTTGACTCTGGTAAAAACAGCTAAAAGAAGCTAAGGTGATTGTCTCTGGTGCCAGGGAAGGGTGGGACAGGGATTGCTGCTTTTTAAAACTTGAAGCTTTTGTTATTGGATTTATCATGGGCATTAATTATAATACTTTTTTTTTCTTTTTTTTGAGACCGAGTCTCACTGTTGTCCAGGCTGGAGCGCAGTGGTGCGATCTCGGCTCACTACAACCTCCGCCTCCCAGGCTCAAGGGATCCTGGTGCCTCAGCCTCCTAAGTAGCTGGGATTACAGGCATGGGCCACCACACCTGGATAATTTTTGTAATTTTTAGTATGGACGGGGATTCTCCATGTTGGCCAGGCTGGTCTTGAACTCCTGGACTCAAGTGATCAACCCACCTTGGCCTCCCAAAGTGCTGGGATTACAGGCCATGGTGCCCGGCCTAATTATAATACTTTCATTATAATACAAAAACTGGCAACAAAGCAGGTGGAAGCTGGAATGGGTTACCTTAAGAGGCAGTGAGCAAAGCACAGATGCAGCAGAGGAAATCCAAGCATCCTAGGAATTGGAAAGGATGATTCTGCCTACTGTCTTGAGCAGCAATTATACTGGGAATGGGCTGAGGCCATGCAGTGGGGGGCAGAGACACCCTGGGAGACAGAGAGTTCATGCCTCACACCACCCCTTTGGGAACACCCTGGTTAGTGGGGAGCTCACACAGGAGAAGAGGGACATCACTCCTTAGCAGCCAAAGTGGAGTTGTAAGAGCAGAGCCCATTCGTCAGAAACCCTGGGTTTAGGCCCTGGTTCTTGCCAGCAAATGACGTAACCTCTCTGGGCCTCCATTTCCCCATCTGTACATTGGAAGTGACATCTGGCAGCTCATTGTCAAGACTGAGTAAGATGCTAGACATGGGAGCCCCACATAGGAGATAAAGTGGTGACCATATCTGAGACCCACAGGCTGTTCCCACTGGGCTGTCACAGTTCCGGGCAGTCAGTGACCCCCAACTTGGCGAGGGTTCAGAACAGAGACATTCCACAGGCAGAAGGGGCTCCCTGGAAGAGGAGAGCTGGCAAATGGGTTGGGTGGAGGCCACAGCAGAAATGAAACCACTGGACACGGTGCGGGTCAGACCGCCCGCGGACTCAGCCAGTCAGGCTCCTCAGACCATCTGAGCCTGTTTCCTCATCAGTAAAATAATACTTAGTTCACAGGCCGAGGAAGACAGATGAGCTACAGTACGCCGTCTATGGTCAGTACATTGTTTCTAAGTGAAAACGGACACGGTCCACAGCTGCTCAGCCCCCATGTCCTCAGCAGCAGAAAGGAGCCATCCCTTAGTTCAAGCGCTCAGACTTCTCCCTTCATCCAGGTCGTACCAAAAACTTCCTAACAAGGACTTTGCGCATTGCCAGTGCTCAGAAACTTCCCACGACTCCCCAGTGCCTATGGGATAAAGACTATATGCTTAACCTGTCACCTAGGACAGGAGCTAGGGTGAGACAAGCGAGGCCCCCAGGGCCCAGTATTTGAGGCGGCACTCACTGTCACGGCTGTGCGCCTACCCCTAAGTTTTGCACTCTAGGCCCTCACTCGAGTCCTAGACTTGCTGCAATTAAAGACCCTTCACAATCAGTCTGCATCCTCCTGTCACTTTCTTTTACAGCTGGAAAGCTCCAACACCACTAAACTCCTTGCCTTTCCCTACTGTTTCCCTGGCCGGAACAGCCTGTCTTCCCTGGATCCCCTACCAAGTCCTCTGAGACGCAGCTCAAGTGCCACTTCCTCCATGAAGCCCTCCAAGATGACCTCTCACTCCCACGTGGGCTCTCACTCCCACAGAGCTGGGCACACCACAGGCGTATAAAGAATGCCTGCTGAATGCAGTGAATGTTTCTGGTCAATAAAACGGGACGAAGGTAGAATGGAGCTCTGCTCGTCCCAACCAGATAAACCAAAAACTGAGAAGGGATCCTCATTCATTCTCTGGACGGGAGCTTCCGCCCTTCTCCGCTGTCTCTTCCATTACATTCGCACATTATTGGGTGCCCCAGGTCAAGCAGAGAGCCTCCTGATTAACTGCAGAATCAAGTCCTACTCAGGGCTGGAAGGACCCCGAGAACGCGGAGGTGGCGCCCGGAACTTGCGGATGAGTTGGGGGCCCGAGTGACTAAGTGTGTGTGTCCCCATCCCCCTGGAGAGCTCTCCCAGCGCAGCGGCTGTCCCGGCGCCCGCCCGGGTCGCAGGGGAGCGCGGGAGGGGCGGAAAACCCCAAACTCCGGGCGGGGGCTCCTCCCACCCGAGCAACCGCGAAGCGGGGAGGCAGAGCCTCGCTGGGCCCCGGGCTCCCCAGGGGAAGAAGGAACCGCGGGGGCGCCGCCACCAGGGTAGCGCGCCTCCAAGCTCCCAGCGCTCGACTCCGCCCCGGCTCGCGCCGCACATGAGGTTCCTGCCCGGCAGCCCTAAGAGCGTCATGTGGCGGGGCCCGAGCCCCCAGTGCACAGGCGCGTAACCCGCCCGTTCCCCGCGGCGCGCGCCCACCTGGCCTGCAGGAAGGAGGCGCCCAGCTGCGCGCCCGGGCCGCCTGCCGCTCCCGGGTGCTGCCGCCTCCGCGCCGCCTCCATGACTGCCCCGTGGGCCTCTCGGCCCTGCCTTTCCGAGGAAAAGACCGGTTCAGCTCGGCGGGAACGGCGGATGCCGCCGCAAATTCCCAGCGCGGGGCGGTCCGGGGCAGTCTAGGGCGGGCAGGCTGGAGAGCGCGGCCCCCGGGAGGAAAGGGCGGGGCGGAGGGGAGGGAGGCGGGGCGGAGGGGAGGGAGGCGGGGCGGAGGGGAGGGAGGCGGGGCGGAGGGGAGGGAGGCGGGGCGGAGGGGAGGGAGGCGGGGCGGAGGGGAGGGAGGCGGGGCGGAGGGGAGGGAGGCGGGGCGGAGGGGAGGGAGGCGGGGCGGGCTCCGCGAGGGGAGGGCCGGGCGCGGCGAGTGTGGCGTCCTCGCGGGGCGGTGGCTTATGGCCTGTCCGGGCTGTGCGCGTGACCACCAGAGGGCTGGGATGTGTTGGGGTCCCTTGCCTGCCTGGGTACGGGAATCTCTACCTAGGGTGACTGAGGCCTGGGTGTTGGGCTGGGGCGGGGTAGGGACCTGGACTAAGCTGACTCTCATGATCCCCGGGGCAGAGGGTGATGTGGGATTTCCCTTGTTCTTGCGGGTGGAGGAAAGGAGGCAGGACAGGAGACCTGCACGTGTAACACCCGCGTGGTGCAGCACGTGGGTTGCAGACGTTCTAGTGAGGGGCCGGGGTTGCTGGCGGTGACAGTGGGAAAGAGCGAGTTTGTGACATCTAGAGTAGTGTGGGAGGTACGGTGACTGGGTCCCTGGATATGGGGGGTGAGGGGAGAAGAGTTCAGGCAGTGGCCGGATTCTGCCCCTGGGTGGATAGTGGAGGCACCCCCCGGGAAGTGGGCTGGAGCAGATTTCGTGTAAATAAAGATTCATCCTTAAACGCATTAAGCTTGAGGTGAATCAGGGAGGCTGTTGGACCGGTGGTCTGAAGCTGAGGTGAAACCTGGGAACTAACCCAGCGGAGAGGCTCCTGAATCCCCGGAGCATACATGACAGACAGAACCTAAGGGGACAGCGTCCTCAAGTGAAAAACAGAACCAAGGGTCAAACCTGAGAACCGCCTGCAGGTCAGATTGCCAGGACTTCATTAGTGGTACCACTTTGAACTAGCTGTGACGCGGGCAAATGGCTCAACCCCTCTCAGCTTCAGTTTACTCATCTGTAACAAGAAGATGCCTATTGCATCTACTACACTGGGGTTGTGATGACTAAATCAAACCCTTAGCAGAGAGCCCGGCACTGGTGGACTAGTTATTAACAATAGCCCCTCTCAGGACCTAAGGTTTCCCTCCACAGAAAGGTTACCTTCCACACCACTCTCAACGTCACAAACTCTCTCCTTCCCATGGTCTGTGTCAGCAGCCCAGCCCCCTCACTAGAACAACTGCAGCTACCCTCCATTCTCCCCCACCATCCGCGTGCTATACCAGGCACACGCTACGTATGCAGGTCTCCAGTCCTGCCTCCTCTCACCCAGCCCTCAAGTCGCTGCAGAAACGATATGGCTCATGGAAGGGATGTGCCTCAGATGCAAATGCAATGTGGCCTTCCCCTGGCCAGTATCTTTGGTCTGCTTCCCAGACCGTGAGGGGTCTGAGTTATGCCTATTTCTAGTCTATTTTCTTTCTTCTTGGGAGATTTTTATTGGGTTTATTTCTTTCCCCTTTGGTCAGAACCTGCATGTCCTTTCTTGGCTGTGGGAGGCTAGGGCTGCCTGCCTGGGAGTCATTTTCCATCAGCCCCATCCTGGGCTCTAGCAGCCCACAGGCCACACCTCAGTTCCCACCCCAGGCCCCTGAAGAACACATTTGCTTTAAAGCTTTCTTTGTTTCATTTGATCCACACCAGGTCACAAGAAGAGCAGGCAATGTCTCTGTTTTGCAGCAGAGAAAAACCTAGGCCCCGAGCTGAAGTAGTGTGCCCAAGGGTCAGCCAAGGACAGCACTCAGACCAGGCCCCAGACTTAATTCTGGTGAATCTGATCTACACATCGATCTCGGTATACACCAGAGAAGAAGGATTGAGGCTTCCCGCTCTGACCCCAATTTCTTATCCTCTGCAGGCTTTGCAAGCCTGCTGGGCTCCAGAGGGAGGGGCATGCAGTGCCCATGATGTCATCATCCATTTAATAACACTCAGAGGTGGGCTTCCAGCCATCAGAGGATGAGGCTGTATGGAGGGAGCCTTTCTAGCTCATTTAATCCTCCAATGCCTTAAATACAAACACATCTGCCTTCTTTCTGGAGTCTGCTGCTGCCCCTTGAGTGGAGGGGAGTCCAGCCTGGCAGGGGCCGGGCCTTTCTGAATGAACAAGAGAGAATTCTCCCTGTCCGATGGGATTATCAGCCCCCTCCCTTTCCCATCTCACCAGGACACTTTAAAAACACCATCTTCATTAGCTCTTTAAGTTGCATGGAAACTTGGGTGAGGAGAATAGAGTTAAACTGAGGGGTACACATTTTCAGGATCTTGTTTGTGATTATCTGAGAACATGGGCCCTGCACATCAGAAGGGAGTCTAGTCTAAGCTCTCTGAGCTGCAATTTCAGTGACCAGCATCAAGAAATCTTTCAGCTGAGAAGGTCCTTTGGTATTATGCATCTTGGTGGTTTTGACTTTTCTTTCAGTAGAGATTCCTGCTACTTTTCAATCATAGCTGTATCTGATCCTTTTGTTTTGTTTTGTTTTGTTTTGTTTGAGACGGAGTCTCGCTCTGTCACCCAGGCTGGAGTGCAATGGCACAATCTTGGCTTATTTCAACCTCTGCCTCCCAGGTTCAAGTGATTCTCCTGCCTCAGCCTTCCGAGTAGCTGGGTCTACAGGTATGCACCACCACGCCTGGCTAATTTTTCTATTTTTAGTAGAGACGGGGTTTCACCATGTTAGCCAGGCTGGTCTCGATCTACTGACCTCGTGATCTGCCCACCTTGGTCTCCCAAAGTGCTGGGATTACAGGTGTGAGCCACTGCACCAGGCCTGTATCAGATAATTTTAAATGTACCGCCTAAGATGCGTTTGACACACCAGTCTTCCAGCTCCTTGCCACTTGTTTTGTCCAGCTGCTGTGACAATTGACTTCACCCAGGCAGAAGTCAACTGCACCTCCTCTCCCCTTGGCCCCACACCCTTGACCTCAGAAGTGCAGGAGTGTTGGACACTCCATGAAGTGAACTTTGACCAGCAAGAGACAGGGATTAGCAAATAAATTTTTCTCTCTTCCTTTTTCTGGACGGACTGGCCTAAGTTCCAGTTCACACAGCCACTTTAAATAAGGTCCTGGGCCGTGCGCAGTGGCTCACACCTTAATCCCAGCACACTGGGAGGCCAAGGCGGGTGAACCACATGAGGTCAGGAGTTCAAGACCAGCCTGACCAACATGGTGAAACCCTGTCTCTACTAAAAATACAAAAATTAGCTGGGTGTCGTGGCGTGCGCCTGTAATCCCAGCTACTTGGGAGGCTGAGGCAGGAGAAATTGCATGACCCCAAAAGGCAGAGGTTGCAGTGAGCCAAGATCACGCCACTGCATTCCAACCTAGGCAACAGAGCAAGACTCCGTCTCAAAATAAGTAAATAAATAAATAATAAAGAAGGTCCTATAAGGTCTAGCATCCATCCGGAAAGGAGTGGTGGCCAGCTCCACAGCACACTCTCCTGTGTGCCCTCTCTCCTCCTCTCTCACTCCCCCTTGTCCTCACTTCCCCTTCCCAGCCAGCGCACTCCCCTATACAGTGTTAGCGTACACGCTGCCCTGCTCTGCTTCTTCGGAAACCTGGGCTAAGACAAAGATCTTTCCAGGATGCTTAATGTGTGAAACACCTACAAGGGGGGATGCCCTCAGTGAAGAGAAGCAGGGCCCCAGGTGCCATCTCTTCTCCCCTTATGGTTCCAAGGCCATGGCCAAGGCACCTCCAAAGGGCTCCCTGGAAAGCTTTGATCTTGCCTAATTCCATCATGCTACAGCTGAAGAAAATGAAGCCTAAAGCCACACAGCGAGTTAGAAGCCAGGCCAGAATCCAGTCTCCACTCCTAATCCAGTACCCTTTCTATCCAGTCTCTTAAGAGCTTTTGAAAATCTGTCTTTCCTCAAAACATCTTCCCACACTGCCCTGCCACCAGAAGGCTTTGAAGGCCCCTGCTAGACTGCAACTACCATCTGAGAGACATGACACACAGACTCCTGGATCCAGAGGCTGGGACTCCAGAAGGCAGATAGAGGAAGCGGGACCAGGAAGGCTCGGTTACTTTGGAGAGACCCAGCCAGGAGGGGCCTGACTAGGGATCTCTATGCGTGGGCGATAAGACTGCACGGTGAGAAGGCTGCACAAGAACAGACAGCAGGAGACTGGGGCACTGTGGGGAGATGGAGACTGTCTTTCTGTGTCAACTGGTATTGCCTGCAGGACACTCCCCATCCGGCTGAAGAAGCTGGGAGGGTGACCGAAAGTCACACTGTGGGGAGACAGAAGAAGCAATTTGCCCCAGGTTGCTTTAATTCAGATTCTTGTGGTTGTGATTACTAGAAACAACGGGGGACAGGTTGATGACAAAAGGGAATTTCTATTACAAGGATTCAAGGGTGTCTTAGGGAATCTAAGCAAAAGGATGCAGTTGGTCCTCAGGAACTAAGAATGGTGCTGGGACTTTGGGAGCCCAAGAAGTCACCACCGGCAACGCTGTTTCCATGTCATCCTTCTCTCTCCCTGCAGACTGGTTTTCCTGGCTTCCCAGGAAATACAGCAGCCTATGGCCTCAGTCAGCAGCTCCCAAGTTTATCTTTCTTCCATCCAAGAGATAAGCAGAATGCTACTGGCATCTTCTGGGCCCAATTCAAAATTCCCGCAGAGGGATTCTGATTGGATGGCTTGAGCCAACGCCCACCCCGAGCCAGGGTGTACAGATATGGCTGCTACCTCTCTAACCAGACAGCCAAGGGAAAGAGAAGTGTACAGTTCACGGCCCTGAATTTGCACATTTGAACAAAAGCCCTAATATAGGAGATTCTGTGCTCTATTTCCACCCCTTAATGGAAGAGATCACTGCCTTATACATGTGGCTATAAATTCAGACCCTGCCCAGAAGCCTGCTGTCCCCATGACAGCCCAGAGCTGAATTGCTCTCTGCTAGCCCCTTCCCCTCCCATCTGCTGCTGAGAGCTGGGAGAAGCTGAGAGGC